ACAGAACCTGTAAATAAAACCTATCTAAAAACTAATTGGATAAAACCACTTCCCAAAAATTGATAGTTTAAAATGATAAATCTGTTAGGAAACTAGTGGTTTTGGGTTTTTTCTTTGATTTTTATGGTATTTTCTTTCTAATGAATCATTTTTAATAGGACATTGAAATGCAGCAAACCTTGAATCTAGAGCAGCAATTTCTAATGTTACCAGAAGCAGCAATGTTTCTGCAGTGGTGGCAGTCTGGTGACAATCCTTTCTCAGATGGGTGGATGGGAGCTGCAGGATCTGACAGTAATTTTTCCTTGTTTGGCTAATGATCAATAGAGAGTATAACTAAGGAGCAGCACAGCTACTATCCTCAGGTTAGCAAATGAGGCTGTTTCTTACCAAAGCCAGATGTTAAACTATTGTCTGCGGAGTTGCTTGCTAGATTACTTATGTGGTCTCTGCTCATCTTTCAGCTTCTTTGGGTTTGGTTATTGATCAGATTTCATGCTGTATTTTCATTCTCTTGTCGCTGTACACATAGAACATGCTACAGAGTTCATCTCACCCAGCTGAATCATAAATGCTCATGTGGCTGACTCTCATATAGGGGTTGTAAAGTGATTGATTTGCAATTTTATAGAGAGGGGGAAAGAAAGAAAAATTGCTTATTTCCTATTAATGGTCTATGAAATTGCCACAGCATTGAGATATATTATTTCCATTACATTTTTGTGTTTGCAGCATTTGTGTACTGCAGCAGGGGAGCTGTAGGTTAGGATTTTCCTGCATGGGAATCAGTGGCTGGGGGGGGACGGACAAGCTGTTGTGTATCCTGCATAACATGGGAACAGGGGTTGTCCTCTGCTAGGTGCAGGAGAACAGAGTGAGTGTGCTGTACAGATGCATGCTTCACACAACCTTCTCCTTCCCAATGAATAACAGCCTGTGTTGATGCATCGATGTGAAGATGCTTTGGTTGGAGGAATGCCAGTGACATTCGCATATTTTTAGTTAACTTATGTTCAGAGGCAGCATTCTGCACCCTAAATCGTCTTCTCAAATTATGCCAATAGTGCATAGGTTATTAAACAGACTATAAAGCATCCTGGGCATTCTTGCAGAAAAGAAATCAGAGGATACAAAGAGCCAGTGAGAAATAGCACCGCGTTTGTCACTGAAGTCTGTTTTTTTGAATTAAGATTTCATTTGATGTTACCCATTGAAAACTTCTATTAATGTGAGAATACAGGTTTATTTATAGTTCTGTATTTGTGCAAGTCATCTGTTTGTACACTTTGTCCACCAATATCCGTATCTAATACTAGACCAGGCTGCCCAGGGCCCCATCCAACCTGGCCTTGAGCTCCAGGCATGGGGCATCCACAGAGTCTCTGAGAAAGATCGTAACATCATTGTTTTTAATGTTGTTCTTTTAGGTTTTCTTTATTTTCTAGAAATATTGTAGAAATATTCTACCACAGTATGCAGCTTGTTTGTGTTTCCAGTGAAGATAAGAGCAAAATTGCCAGTGATGGATGGAAAAAAAGCAAGTGAAAAATGCTTCAAAAGCATTCGTTTCATTTTGGTAAACTGAATTGGTTCACCAAAAAATGAGATTTATAATTGTTTGCTTCAATCTTAGTTACAGAGAGGCAAGCATCTCTTTAAATCAGTTTCACAAATTTATTTCTTCTACCATGCTCTGAAAAAGATGTATTGTCTAAATTTTAAGCCAAAATTGGAGGATAAGCTCTTAGCAATGGAGAGAAACGGAATCTAAACTTAGTGTGCAAGAACAATAGCGAAAACCTCAGTGCTAGCTCTTGCTAATTCACATTAATATTTTCGTTGTACTTATAGTGCTCATTTGCTCAAATATCCTACTTCGGGTTTTTAACTTTTGACCCTGAACTGCTCCTCCATCAGAAATTTCCATGTCTAAGTAATAGCAATTTTTTTTTTTTGAAGTTATTGCCCTGTTAAATAGGGCAAGAAGCAATGTTTGCTTCTTCAAGTGTGAAGGGGATATTTTAGTATTATGCTGCTTTGTGAGGGACAGCAATTGATAAATCAAGTGTGGTTTGAGAGAGCTGCTGGTTAGCTTCAGGCTCCAACTGCTTAGGGAGCGCCACAGAACCAGAGGAGTTTGGCTCAGGTGTACACTGCTGTTTTATTTGGCTTCAATACCTTTTTTTTTTTTAAAAAAAAAGGATTATAAAGCATTTCAAACCTAATGAGTACAGAACTGTTTCTGCTGAGTACCACTTGCTAGCTTTGCATTTGCTTTTACAACAGCACCTACGCTTCCCGAAAGCCTTTAAAAACACACTTAAAGTGCCAGATCGCCGTCATCCTGTGCCAAAGCTAAATATAAGTGTTTCCACGCGTCATCTGAGTGAAGATCAGATGTTTTAAAAAGCATTTGATTTTCATTTGCCCAAAGGCTGCTCTGCTAAAAATTTTTCAGTGACCTCATGGCTGAAAGTGAATGAAAATTTGTCCTTTTAGCTGTTTCATAACTTGACTGTTCTGCACAGCTTTGTGAACTGGGATTATTATTTCTTTGTTCTGCTATTTCTAACTTTCATTATTTGAGTTTTGATTTGTAGGAGAATTGCATAGGTCTTGAGGTATCATTGTCAGTGCACATCTTTGGCTGAAATTTGCCTGATAGTTTGTAGGATATGGAAATGCTGTTCATCTAGATCAGCAGTTCCTGGCATGCTAGGCTGAAAGGAAAGGCCTCTCTGAGAGCAACTTCATTAAGCTTTCACTTTGAAGTCCTGAAACAAATGTGTTGTACAGCCTTCTTCTCTTTCAAAAACTGTATTGCTGGTTAATGCCGTCCCAAGTGCTGTTCATTTATTCCTTAGATCCAAATGTTGGCTTTCTTTGCTCACTTTTGTGCATCTTTCATCTATGAAAGATAAAGTTCAGTGCTTTTTAGTGAGTTGTATTTTCTCAAGAAAAGACAATTTGACCTGATAATGGATGTTTTAAAATGTTTATTATTTGTCTTGCTGCATACAAATGATACAAATACTAGATTCACAGTAATGCCATTGTATGTGAACCGTAATTTTAATCAAATGCAAATGAAGTCTGCAAACAGGAATGGCAAAATGTGAAGAACTACAGCAGCTCTGGAAGATGGGTTTGTTTTGTTCTTTTTTTGTGTGTGTTTGAAGCTGCACAGTAGCTGAACAGGGTGGGGAAGATGACTCAGAGTGGGAGCAGGGCAGAGCAGAGGGGAGCTCAGTTCTGCTGTGCCTGGGGACTCGGCTGCAGAGTCAGCCAACTTCAGTGAAACAACTGGCAGCTGGGTCTGTGCCTGCAGCCCCAGGTGGAGTTCTGCTGCCTGATTAACCAGCAAGCCTTGGCTGGACCAGGGGGAAGCTTGTTGGACGGTAGGGAGGTCCTGGGGTCAGCTACGCAAGCTTTTCTCCTGGAGCTCTTTTGGCTATCCTTGTTGACTCCACTGCTGGGCCTGCCACAAAGGACTTCTAGGTCATTTTGCTTAGGGTGGCAAAACTAAGTAAAAACTGAAAATACCTTCTGTTACTAGTAATAGCATTTTGCATCTAGTAAGTCAAATTGTTACTGAGCCCTAGTGACTTCCTGCAACCACTGTCTCGTAGCTGGCTGGAGGAGATCCAGCTTATCTTTTTAGACCACTTCTTCTATCAGGAGTGTTTCAACCAGAAAGGAACAGAAAAACTGTCAAGATATTCAGGTTCTATGGGCTGTTTGCAAAAGTACTGACAAAATAATAAATTGAGGTTATTTAACTTTCCACAGTACAGTAAGCAGAGAAGGTGTTATATATTTTTCATTTTAAAATGACTTGCTCATTAGACACGATTCCTGCAAAAGACATACAAAAGACCTGAGATACTGCTCAGATTCTGCTCTTGAACAATGTGAATTTTTAAGTGTTGCCAGAAAACCAGATGACAGCATGAAGTCTGTTACTTACAAGTCGTCACAGAACTTCACTCTAGCAAAAGAGTGTTTGTTAGGGTGTAATATTCTGAAATTGCTGGCTGCAAGATGAAATGTAATTACTTAGCTGCTTCCTCTGGGTTTAGGAAGATAGTCTTGCACGGACATCTGTTGTGACTGGAGAAGCTAAAGCTCTGTCTTCATTATGTCATAATTTCTTGAGCCTATGATCATTTCTGAGCATTGGTTAATGTGTTTTGTCCTGATCTCATTAAGTATGGTGCATGACAGCACCTTTCTCCACACACATCCAAAGCCAGCTGTACTGGGCAGACTCTTGATGTGCTGTCACAACAGCATTTTTGGAAGGACGTTGTGTTTCTTAATTAGGGAAAGAGCAATGGAGAAGATGGATGATAGTTTCACACAGAGGCATCATTCCAGGGAATGGTTTTATCTGAGGCTGGTTAGCTGCTCGGTGGGATGGGAGGAGGAAATAGGATGCAAAAGCGTATGGAATGAAATGAAGTTGAAGAGATTGCTATTGTGGGCAAAGCAGTCTCAGCCTGGGGAAAATTAGGTGAACTTATTGCTAAATAAAATAGATTTGTATAGAAAGAAATCAGAGACATTAAACCTGCACCTTGCCAGGACATGGATGATAGGTTATGGTCAGTACAGAAGTTTTCCCTTCAACTCTTTCCTCCTCACATTTTTCTCAGGTTGACATGGGTTCCCCGTGGGCTGCACTTCAGGAATATCCATTTCTGTTGTGGCTACTGAGGAGTTACTTGATAGTGTTGAGATATCATGCAATATGAGATATTGGCCCCTTGGAATAGATTGTAAACTTGATGTGAGAATTGCTGTGAATTGCCTAAGCCTTTCCGTTGAGGCTTTTTGAGATAACATAATATCTTCTGTGAGAATGTGTTTCTATTGGTTAGAATAAGGAAAGGAAGTAAAAATTCGGGAGATCGGTTGGATTAAGTAGGATTTCTTTGCTGCAGAGCTGTTTTAAAGTGAAGGTGTATTCATTCTATCTTTCTCTCACATTTTTCTTTAAGGTGAAGTTCAGCTGAGTTTAAACTCGTTTGGCGCTCCGTAAACTGTGAAACAGAAGAATGCAGAAGAGTATCCCTTGCCTTTTTGTACATGTATGATAAGAGCACAAGATCATTACTGCAAGTTTGCTGCGAAGATGAGTTCGGAGGAGAAAAGTATATCTCCTGCTCACAAAACGTCCACTCCATCACATAGAAGTGCCTCCTCTTCATCATCATCTCAGAGGGATAGGAGACAGGTAAGGAGAAAGTTCTGACCTGTGAGATGTCTGGTGAAATTATTTATTCCTGTAGAGTTCTTTGTCAGTATGAGCCTACACTTGCTCAGACTGTTTTTCCTTATATATAAATATCTAATATCTCTTTGTTAACTAAACTACAGAGATGTCACCTTTTCTCAAGATTATATTTCAATTCCATTTAAATATTACATTGTTAGTCCTCTATGAAAGCACTTAAACCAAATTACATTTAAAATCTTACTACAAATTTACCCTGATTGCTCGAAGTCATGTAGCAGCAGTCCAGTTATGTTAGACTTTTGTCTATGTGAATGAATCACATTTTCTCTCTAGGATCCTTTTCAGAGAGGGCTGTATTATTTCCACTCAAAACAACCTGTGCGTTCCTGTGGATTTTTTAGTGGGCTGGCTATACAGTCTGGCTCCAGCATCAGGGGCCCTTTAGAAAGTGTCAAGAGCTATTATCACAGATCATAGCTTGTAATAAATGCAATATTTGGGGCTGAAATATTTTGTTAAAGTAAAATATACTTTGAAACTTGGACTTAATGGAAATCTTAAATATAAAATGAGCTTTTAAGTTAACATCATCCTGTTTAAAAGGAACTGTGGAAATATTATCATTAATGCAATAATTTCTTCTTTTCAGCTTAACAAGAGAAAGAGGCAGGAAAAGAACTTTAATTAGTGTTTGTGTGGTACACGTTTACTTGAATGACTGTAGCTTAAGAAGGTTTTCCCAGCCACTTCAATGCCAGCTGAGATGCTTTTTACTCAGCTGCTGCTGAAGTAGTTTTTTCTTACCTGAATTGTAAAACTCTAAAGACAAAGTATTTTGGCAAATGCAGTAATATTTATGACCTTGAATGTAAATAGTCTCACCATCAAGTATATTTAAAATGTTAAATGTGAAAAGACTTCTAATGTGTGTTTGTTAACAGGCAGAAAATGTCTGGAATTTAAAAAAAAAAAAAAAAAAAAATTTCTAATGCCTTTCAGTTTAGGCGAAAGGCAGGTGATAAATACTTTCCCTTTTGTGTTGTATAGAAATAGGGATAGCTGTATTTGGTTACATTCTAGTTACTGTATGGTATGCTCTTAATTTTTCGCTAATTTCACTTGAAAATTTGATATACTGATGTTCAAAACAAAACATGTTTTATCTTTCTGCAGTTAAATCCAAAGAATGCAGGACTTGTGAGGGCTGCTGAGCTCAGCTAAAGAGCACATCCTCCAAATATGGTTTGCAATTAGGTAGTTCGGTAGGATTGTGCAAGGGAGAATTAAAAAAAAAAAAAAAATTGCCTTTGGGAATAGATGTTACCATAAATCTAGCAGCTACCATATTTGTTACCATGGCAATGGGGTAGTGTAAGGTATACCTGTCATTACAATAAAATGGATGCTTAACTTTAAGTCTGTATTTGGTCACTGAAATGTGAAGCGTGAATTTAAAATAGTTGGAAGAGGTTGATGGTGTGATGGTGCATCTGGAGCTATCTTGGATCCAATAATGTCTGAAGATGCTTAGCCAGTATATCTAGGCACATAAATGTGGAATGGAAAGGAAAAGAATGAAAAGCATTCATATTGGTGTTTTTAGTGATAGAGGCAGAGAAATATTGAGGAGAATGGATAGATCAGCAATTTTCTTCTGCAGCTGGAGTGAACAATACAGCATGAGATACAACAGTACTATACCCAAGGAAGTGAACATGCAAGTGGTTCCTTTCTGCTTATTTTTAGATCCAGCAAATCTTGCATATTCTTTGTACCATCTACTGTTACAATTGTATGTCTAATTTCTTTCCTCACTTCTGGCATAATTTGTACTCATTTTGCTTTTTGTAGGATTTTCCCAGAACGTAATCATGGTTGAGGCTGTAGGGGATTTTGGTGTGAGGGCTCTTGGTTTGTTTACTTTGAAAAACCTTGCAAGTTCTCTCTTACTGCTGCCTCAAACTCTTCATAGGAGCTGGGAAAAAAGCACCCTCTCTAAAGATGTGATCTGTATGGATGTGCAACGTGATGTGACTGGGTAAAGTGTCAGTGTGGCTTTCATTGTCATATGTGAGGATAACACTGGATATTTCTAGATGGTTAATGATTGAAATCTTCCCGTCATATAATTCTTGTCAAAGTCACACTAGCAATTACGGAACAGTTTCCCAATAAATTATGGTGCGGGAGGTTGAATGAGTGTGAACATGGCTATGATAAATCATCTCAGGGAGAGTGGAAAATGTCATGCTGTATATAATGCTGGCATTTTAATGTAGCTTTCTTATTTGTGCAATATACATCACCTAAGAGAATTAGCAGTCAGCAAAAGCTTTGACATTGCCAATTTGTAGTCTCCATGACTAAGTAATTGATAAATGAACAGAATGTCAGCAATAGCAAAAAAAAAAATTGGGATCAAACTTCTGTTGTCATAGGAACTTCAGTGTCATTTGTTATCAGCAAAATCTTGGTTAATTTGGATGATCAGAGAGGCCCATGCCAAACCTCTGTTGTTTAACCCTTGGGCTGAGCTATGCTGCAGGGCAGTTGTGTGGTCCTGATGGGAACGCTGCAGAGAGGAGCAACAGAGCAAGAGTCTCCGTCAATTGCAGGAAAACTAGCACTGTTTGTAGGAAGTGCAGTTACATGTTATGCATTATGTTATGCATTCAATCAGGTGATTGTAAACTCTTCGTGAATGTTCTGTATTTTAATTCTTGATTAAGTATGCAAGTCGTACTGCAGTCTATATTGTTATATATTCACTGCAACGTATAGGCAGTAATATTGTGCTGAGAAGGAAAGCATGTTGTAAGGTTAACATGGCACAGTTTAGTAAACTGGGGCCTGATCCCTGGCTATTAAACCTGCAGTCGCAGAACAAAGTGTATGTGTTGTAGGAGAAGATGATGATAAAATTAATAATGATAAAATTTTGAACAAAGATGAGAATTTGACTTTTCTGACCACCATCTAAAGGGTAGCTAGTATGTGATGGAAAGAGAATTTAGCAGCATCTGCTGTTTTTGATGTGGAGGCTTTTTAATGTCTCAGTTTTCTTTTTGTTCTTTTAGGAAGGAGGCATGATCAGCTGTTATCTCTTCTGCTGATTTCTGCCCATTACTGTTTCAACAAAACCTTGGTTCATTTCCAGTACAGCAAACATAAAAGAATGGCTTTTAGTTCTGTTGCATTTAGCCTTGTATGGTCATCTTTCTAATAGGAGAGCTTTAATATTTCAAATGATATTGTTTTAGCCATATATGTAGACTGAAAGATGGAGGCTATGAAGGAAAAAGATTATTTTGTTTGTTTGTCTTTAAATAATTATTTCTGCACTTTTTGCTTGATAATCTAGGTTGGCAGAATGAGGCACATCACGTACACAGGTTCATCTTGCTTGCTGGCAATTCAAGTCATTTGAAAGAATCTCTCTTTTCATTGCAATATTTCATTTAGCATATTTGATGCTTTTTCTGGGACACTCAGAGTAACTGGATGTGTGAGAGCTGATGAAAGGACTAAAGGGAATGTTAACGCTTGCATGGTTGCTTTTTTTGGTTTTATTTTTAGTTACCTCAAACTCAGCTTTCTCTTTATGACCACTTATGATCAGTGCTACAATATCCAAGACCCTTTTTTTGTCTCTGTGAAATTTCTGCTTCATAAATAATGACAATATGGCTGATGGCCCTTTTTACCATCCGTGCCTGTCTGTCTGGTGTGCGTCAGAAATCGTTGCTCTCACAAGATTGTAGCACAGTATAATATATTCCATGTAGAAATCTGAGGACATTTATATCCTGTATTTGAGTAGATGCTCAAAGTACTCTTGCTCACTGCTGACAGCCTGTTGTGACATAGTGAAAAATTTCTTGGTGGTTACCTGTAAACTTCATTTGCTTTTGTTACTCCATGACTTTAAAGGAAAGGAAGTCAAGGACAGATAGCTGTCGGTAGTTACATACAGACCTGACAACAGTGAACTTTATTCCTAGCTTTGTGCTGCAACGAAGTGTAGACTTTTTGTGAGTAGTTTAGCTTCTCAGTAGTTCGTGAGAATTATTTCAATAATAATTGCTAATTTCTTTCAGAGTTTCAAATTGAAGGTGCTATTAAATTCCAAGTACTGTTGTTGTAGTGAAGTAATTCTCTTTTGCTCTCTCTTTCCTAATTAACTTCTCTTCAGGATAACACAGATGAAGCAGCATTAGTGCAGGAAGTGTTAAATACTTTAAATGGCAGCAACTCACTGGAGCAAACAATTATTCTGAGGGAGCTAAAGAATGAAGTGGTAAAATTGGTAACAAAAACATGCAATTATTTTCTAAATCAGCTAACTGCTTCTACTCTATAAGTTTTTTGATAATTCTCTGCATTTAACACAGTCTGTAAAGCTTCATTATGTTAAGAAGACAATGGCTTTTATTTTAGCATCTGAAAAATATGTGTGAAAGGAGGAATGGAGTAACTTATGAAGATATAGGACCACCGCTGTGAACGTTCAATGACACAGCACTTGTCTTGAAGGAAGTTGTAACTCCCAGACCTACTAGATTCCTTATTTGTCACTTGGGTGGTTACAGTGAATTTAATCCATGAGCAATTGTCTACAAGTTGTTGAGAGCGATTTGTATATGTACCTGAAGTGTTGTCCCATATGTGTATCTTGTCTGAGCCCACCAACATAGCTGTTGGAATTGCCTTGCCTCCAGAAGTATGGGGGCACAGTGGGGTTTACAGGTATGCACTGGAGATTTCTTTTTAGACTGTCAGTTTGATTGGAAATGGCCTGTGTAGCTATCTTCTGTGTTTTGTAACAGGAAATTGCTTGCATAAAAGCTCAATTACCCGTGCAAATTAAGATTGATAAAGTAGTATTTCTAGAACATGTTCACTCCTGCTCTCTTTGTCTCATTTTTCCCCCTCTGCTGTGCTTATACCTGCACAGGCATGTTTCCCTTCTTTTTCTTGACAACGTAAGCTAAAAGGTCAGCTTGGACATAAAATAATAAAAGTCATACTGTTCAAGTATCCCCAAACACTGAGATTATTACAGTATGCACTCATTTTCTAACTTGATCTCTAAAGGGCTGATATTGATGAGGTGTGTGCATGTACATACAAGCACAAATTCTGACAAGTCCAGTGCTTCCAAAGTGACATTTATGTTTTCTTCAAGAGAAAAAGAAGCATGATTTTGGTTTCATTACTTCAGTGGAGATAAAAGACAAAATTAAAAAAGATGGAGATGATGGCAGGTATGACATGAAGACTTCTGTTTGCAAGATACTTGTGCAAGATTGGAAGGATCCATATTCAAGACACAGAAATGTGTTAGGGAAAATAAGTGCATGCCATAGTAAAGTTATTTACTGTTTCTGTGTCTGTTTTTCTTAAATGCTCTACCCTAGCATTGGAAATGAAGCTGTTGAATCAAAACTGTTTTTTTTTTCAGTAGTGTTTTATGTTTTTAGGTGAGTGTCCAACTTTACTTGATTTGTTAAACTTGTTTGCAACCACCTATTAGTGAAAACTGTATATATTTTTCTGAAGGCCAATCACCATGGATTCTTGAATTAGTTAATATATGAACACAGCACAGAATTCTTCTTCTGTTATGGGGATTTCTTTCCCCTTATTTTCTTTTGCTACATCAGCATTAATAAAATGTTATGCTATCCTGGGACTGTTTAGAGAAATATCTATCCTTTAAATTGTGATTCTTCAATGGTCATAATAAAGCTTTGTATCATTAGCAAACATTTACGTTTTCTGTCAGATATTGCCAGTTTATCTGTGCTTCTTTGAGTTAAGCTTGTCAAAATCTAAAATGTAAAAGATGAACAATGTCATTAAAGACTTTGGCTGTGATTTGATGGTCATCCCAAGCCCACTGTCACTCCAGCTGATTGCTGGCATGATGACAGCTTTCCTCTGCTTTGCTCAGTTCTGTAAATGCCTTCCTCTACGAAACTCATCAGAGAAGCAAGAACTCTTCAGCTTATTGAAAGTTTCTTCTAAAAGTAAAGGACCCTTTGCTTCTGGAGGCTAAAAGAATTGGTATAACATACTGCCTTACAATACAAAAATAGAACCCCAGAAAGAGTTGATTAAAAACCTGCAAAGCAAACAAATCCTTGATATTTCTGTAGGACCACAGTGATTTTATGCGAAGAAAAAAAACCACACAGAAAGAAAGGAAGGAGAGAGACAGTGTTAGAGGCAAGGTTGCTTTGCTTTGTGATCACCCTTCTCTGTGATATGTGGGATTCTGTCTTTATTCCAGCATCTGCTAAAGGAAAGTCAGACCTGCCTGAGGAGCAGCCAAAGACAAAAGCAAATTTCAAGGTTATTACATTTGCGAGTAATATTGCAGAGCAACTCAGCATTTATCACAGCTCTATTTAAAACGTGTCAAAACTGCATTTACCCTGCTACTGCTGTTGTATTTCAGATAACTGGAAAATGCTCTGTTTTTAGATGACAGCAAGTGATGAAGTGTTTCACTTCGTATGATGTGGGCTTGAAATACAGAGCATGAGTCTGTGCAGGGATATCTAGATTGTAAAAACAATGCCAGTGAAAATAGCAGGTAAAAAAAGAGATGCACCAATTAGTACTCTAGATTAAAAGAAAAAAAAAAGAAACAACAAACCACCACCAGAAAAGAAAAAAAGCTCTGTTTTGCGTTTGTGTTGTATAAGTGTATCAGTTAATGTCCTGTGGTTATGAGTGTTGAAGGCTGCTGAATGCTGTGATCAAGAAGAGTCACCCTCCAATTCTTTTTCATTCATTGCCATGTTATGCCTGTTTTTGAACTAGAGGGTCTGAGCCCAAAGTGAGTGATTAATTCCTCACCAGCTTGTCTTTTTCTTGAAAGTCAGCAAATTATAAACTGAGAGAGCTCATTGCATTAAATGCAATTAATTCCATTAAATAATTAAGCAGCAAAGCAGAAAGGGAGACCTGAGTGCCAGATGTGTCCTTCATTGGATTTCCTATCTCTACTTACTTTTCCCTTTGAATACGCACTTGAATGTTTTTTCTCTAGAGGGGAAGTCATATTCAGCTAAGAGTCCGCAGCCTCTGCGACCTGGTGGAGACCAGATGCTCCACGTGCTAACATTGTTTGCGTAGATGAGGTGAATGGGTCACTGACCTCTTCAGTAGGAGACAAAAATTGATATTAGTGTAAATTATATAGAGTCAAGATGTGTGGAAGATGCTGTAAAATAAATTTTCTATACTTGCCTTCTAGAGAAGGTGAGTATATGAAACGTTGCATCATTATTCTCTCTCATCAGATTCCTTTAGGAAGCGGTGTGAACTGAACACAGGACAGAATCAACATCTGTGTTCTGCATGTGTAGGCTTCCTGTTTATTTTCACCAGCTTACTTTACTGATTCTGTTTTTCTTGTTTAAAAAAAGAGAAAAGATAACATCTAAATCTAAATATTTTTTCTTTGTTTTGTGCTAAATGCATAAAGAAATTTCTGCATCATAGAAGCAGCTGCTTTTCAAATGGCCAAATAACTTCCAACAGTATAATTTCCAGCAGTAATTCTGCAGAAATATAGCCTGCATTAATGAAAACATCTTATGCCAAAGGATGTATTTTGATACTATACTGGAAACATGTCACAAATTTAAAGGAAGCATTTTGTGTCAGTGTAATAGTAGCTATGACAGAAAAGAACTGGAAAGCAGATATTTCCAGTAAATGAGATAAAGCTTGTTGAAATAGGGAGTGTAAAGAAGGCAATTTTAAGTGTTCATTTTCTGATTTACAAATAGTTGAAAATGTCAGCGTTCATTAAAGTGCTTTTAGCTAGTCATGTATTTTTTCATCTGTAGTAGAACTGCAATAACAAGGCTGATTAAGAAAACAAAGAAAGAGAGGAACCAAAATACAATACAAACTTTGCCTTAAAAGGATGCAGTGGAAAATGTCACTGGAAATCTGGCAAGCCAGGGGCTGCTGGGTTGCTCCACTCTAAATATTTTACAAAATGAAATAGCAGTTATGTAACAACAAACTGTATTGGCTGCTAGATGCGATACCTTCAGAACATCTGTGTTGGGCACTGCTCCATCTCAAGATGGAGAGGTTCCTGCCTGCCAAGCAGAACTGGCGAGAAAGTTGGGAGTTGTCCTGACTGCGATAATTGAGGCATTTTAATCTTCCTTGGAGGAACATATGTAGGTTGTATTGTATATTGTTCAAATCTGATACTCTGTGCAAATGTAGCATTAAATCTGTTCAGTCAGATCGCTTTGTTGTAGTTGTTTTTAGCATTATTCTGGTGCTAAGCTCAAATGAATGTATTAAATTATTCGACATGTAGCGTAGGAACTTGTGCTAAATAAATGCAGCCATTTTCTCAGCTGTCTGATAGTGGTCATTGGCCTAACAAATCTGTTTTTTTTTCTCTGATAAAACAGTAAACTTCAAGCATGAATGGCAAAGCTCTCCTTGTTGGCCCTGAGGAATGGGGTGGGCAACATAACCCTGCTGCTTTTCCTTTATTTTTTTGGCTGTAAAATTAAATTATAGTAACTGAAAATAAGCACCAATTATTGTTTTATTGTGGCAGGGGTGCTTATTAATCTCCACTGATGGTAGAGGCCATTCTCATATATACTTCCATTTTTTCACTGTTGCAAACTGAAAGCGAAGAACAGTCAGTTGTTCTGCAGCCTGTGTAAAATGTGCAGTTATTTGAATAGCTGTGTTTATTCTAATTTATTTCAGATATGATCCTGATGTACTTAGTTATCTGTATAAATAATAACATTTATTCTGCTGTTTATATGTATTTTTATATTCCCTGATAGTTTCTACACTCGCTTATACCTATGTAGTGTCTTAAGTCTCTTCTCTGGTGATTGTGAGAAAGCTGATTTGAGAACTAAAGTTTAATTGTGATTTTCAGTAGACAAAAATTTACCCATCTCAGAGAACTGTAATTGCCACAATTCATCATTGTTCTACATGTGCTAGAAATGAAATATTTTCATATCATGCCACAGAGGTACCAGCAATTCTCACCAACTGATAACATGGAATGTTGCAAAATTGTTCCAGTCAGACAACAATATGCAAAATGGAGCAGATGGGCTGTAACAGCTGTAATGGTTGAAGATTGTTTTGCTCAATTAATGTTTACCAGTGAGCTTGTCGGCATAGACCCTGTGGCTGATCTTGTGAATACCTACAATCTGTACTCATGTAGTGAGTTACTGCATAGCTTGAGAAGCCAGTAACAAAAAGCCAAGATGGAACGCCTTACCTGTAAAGGTTTGTTTTGGAAGTGGGTGTGTGGCAGTTCCCACTGTGTGATATACACTTAGTGTTTCAGCTCAGCAGAAAAGGTCCAGCTGGGAACACTTTGAACCTCTGTAGGAAAGGCAAGTAATGCAGTTCATTAGTTTTAAGGCTGGTAATAAGAAAGAGAGGCAGGAAAGAGATGTGTTGCCCTACAAGATGAACTTTGTTATGCGTAGGGAGTACTTTATATATGTTTTCAGCCACTACGCTTATGTGAAGTATTAGGCTTTGTACCTATTATATACTCTATAACGTACTCTAAACTATATTATATGTGATCAGTCATTAATTATTCAATATGCATTTTTAAAGTTATCTTTGAATGATAAATGGTCATCTTTAGGATTTTTTGATTTTTTTTTTGTTCTTTTTTTAGAGCATTAATATTTTGGAACGGAAGGCTTCTTCGGGAAGCACAGATCCTTCCTTAAGCAAGCAGTTCCTTGAAACAGACCCTATCTCCCTGTCCAAGGTAAGGAAGAGCACAGGCTGGGATCCAGACACTGTGTTTCCTTCTGTTCTTACAGTGTAGTTTGACTAAGCTTTTGGGTATTGGTTTTTATGATTCTGTCACTGAATGCATTTTGAGTCTGTCCCAGAGCTTCCTATTTGCTGCCTTAGGTGTCAGGGAGGCCAGTAATCTTTATTAGATTTTGTATTAACAAAATTAAGGGTTTGGATGGTGGTGGAGATTGCTTTTTCCACCTGTGAATGTCTCCCAGGAGCAAGATTGACTAACTCAGAATATGGAGCTAGAAGGGACTTTGAGAAATGTTCCAGTCCAATCAGAAAAAAAAACAACAACAACAATATCCAAGTCCCAAAGCGCTACTAATCAGTATGTTGATTAAAAATACATAGAACATTCCTCCTAATTGCATTTTTTGAGGTAGTCTCCTGAAGTTTGAAATTGTTGCTGAGGCCTTCTGTAGAACCGTAGAGGAAACAGCACTGATTCCTGAATGATGCACCCTCACATGCAGTGCTTTGTAGTTGGTGTCCTCTAGGCTGAATTCCTGAGTTCTGAGAGGACTGATTCTAAATAAGCCCAATTCTGATTAAAGAAGGCTTCATTTTAAGTTACTTCATATAAAAAAGTAAGTTTGTTACTGAAAAGGTGAGGATGCTTTGATGGAATACTTGGCAAAAAACTGAAATTAAATATCTATAACTCATGATACTTGGGAAAACACATTCAACGTGAAACATGCTATTCAACTATGTAAAAGTGAAATTGCCTGTCTTATTTGGAAAAAAACAAAAAACCAAACAAGTCCCTTATTGCCAGCAGCTGGAGCATACGCAGAACTAGGCCTGTAAGATCTGCCTGTGTTCCCTGATCCTGCTGCTCCATGTGGAGCTGTTGCTCACTTAATGTGCAGTGAACCATAGAAGTCCTGAAACGGCAAAGCTGTGCTTTGAGTGATCCAGCATCAGATGAGGAACCTTCGCTGTCACTCTTGTTTTCCCCTTTCTGGCTGCTCTTGCAGTAGAATGGTCTGTGGCACAGTGTACCTCGTACTTGGCACATCTCATCATACCAAATGTGGATGGGGTGAGCTGCAGTTAGGATGGTTAGGGTGGCTTTATAACACCTTGTGGCACTGGTGCAGCAAAAGGCAGCTAATGGTTATTGCACTGAATAATGGCTCATTATGTCTTCCTGTATCTGGCCTTTCGGTTAAATGAATAGCTCTATGAGATTGTGTGATTTCTGGTTGAGAAGTAATCAATACTGATGTTATCTGGTTGATAAAAGACTTATGCCCACAGCTGATCTTCTAAAGGAAAAATCAATAGGAGGAGTCAGTTGGCAGAGTAGAGGAGAGATCCTCTGCTTGCCCCAGGGGACTCATAGTTTAATTTCCCCCCTTAAGAGCCAAGTGCTTCATGGGGAAAAAATAATGCATATGTGCTTCCTGCTGCAGTAATGGAAATAGAATATCATATCAAAACACAGTGAAATCAAAGTGATGGTTTTTGAACTGTGTTTACTGGCCCCGTGATAGTTTCAATTTGCAGTTATGCAGGGAAAGTTAAACAGAGTTAAAATTTTTATTAAAATTTACAGTACTAAGTATTACTTGGGACAGAACTTTTCATTCTTGTTAGATTAGCAACTTACTCAGGTTTGTAACCGTGAAGTTTGGTGTTACACTTATAATCGTATTTTCACAATAGTGACGTTGATGGTATTGAAGCTCTGTAACACAGGCAGGGCTGATGGTTCTTGGCTGTGAGCAGTTTCATGGGAAATGGAGGAAAGAACTTTTGTTTCTCTTCAAATGTTTGATGACCTCTTCCCTCTCCCAGTCGCTTTATGTAACGTGAGTGAGAGTTGTGACAGCTGAGAAAATGCCAGTTTGCAAATTCTGTTCATTATGATAGCAGCAAGGGGATGTGAATAAAGGGATGACTTTTTTCTCATTAAAAGCGTTGTCCTGTAGCTGTTCACTACGATGTTTCACAAACTCAGACCTGAGTTGTACAAGTGGTCATGCGTAACAAGCATGTTTGCAAGGAATGTGCTTGGCTTTCAGAAAGGCGACAGCTGGTTGTGTCTGAAACGATGCAGCTCATATTCTTTTCTCTAGGGAGAGAATTAGTTAGCTTCCCACAGATTTTCCCTTAATGCAATGAAAAGGAATGACAAGAAGCTTTCATAAAGATCAATTTCCTTTTACGTATTTCTAAAGGTGCAATTAGCCTCTGCAACTCTGCCTCATAAACTGCCACTGAAGACCAACCACAAGTCAACCTCTTCTGCTTGAACTGTAGATTTTTAGGAAAATTAAGAGTATCCAAAATCAGTGCAGATTGTATGCTAGAGATAGGAAAGCTTAAATATTCTTATGATCAGGAAATAGTGCAAAGTACACTGTTAATATATTCCCATATATTTAACAGTAAGATGTCTACATTTCATCTCATGATCTCACTGTTTTTAGAGGCGTACTCTGAGTAAAGTTACATTTTGAACATGCAAATTCTGCCCATGCTCCACTTACAACATCTGTTGAGTCTTTTTAGCTCTTACGATGCAGAGTTAATCTTTGTTTTGCATTGCAGAATTTGTGCTGCATATAAATGCAGTTTTACATCATGTGTACGCATAGTTATTAATCAATGTGTTCATGCTTTTTCACCAGGAGCCTGACAGCTGGGAAATCATAGAGGGTCTGAAAATTGGCCAGACTAATGTACAGAAGCCAGATAAACATGAAGGCTTCATGCTGAAAAAGAGAAAATGGCCCTTAAAAGGTTGGCACAAGGTAAAGTTCTCATAAAACAGTCAAAGGATTATTGCTTCCTTTTATGATTTGGAATTTTTTGTCTAGAGAAAATACAGTGTAGGATGACTGACAAATAAAAGCCCAGAATTTCAGCGTATGACTTTATCTTCAGACTGTATAAAGAATTAGTCTGCATACACAGCTTTGTGGCTTCAGTGTTGCAGGGCTGGCTGTGTAATGTTATATTCAAAATCCAGGCAGACAGTGTAAATAATACAGCAGATGCCTCGTGTTTTAAGAGGTTTAGCCAATATCGCTTTCATTCTTCTGAATACATTATAACAAAATATAGCTGTGCAGTGTAAGTTTGAATTCAGTTTACATGGAAGTAGCCAAGAATCTGTGAGAGCTGAGGAGGGCTTTGGTATGGACCAAGAAGTTCTTACTGGAGAGCATCCCCTGAAGTTCTTTTCCCTTCAGCCTTCCTGGCTGGGCAGATTTGCTCATCCCTGTCCCCGAATTTGTTTGTGTCTGTAATCTTAGTTGTGGACATGAAGCATGACTATTTAACAAAACACCATCACAAACCCCTGAATCTTCTGTTTCTATTTAGTTAATGTGGAGACATTTCTCCGTGGACACTTTTACTTTTTGTTAACCCTAAACCCAGTGTTCATTATCTCTTCTACCTGTATTTTATAGCATAATAATTGCACTTCTTTCAAATCCTCTGTTAACAAGATTTGGTTATTGATGCCTACCCATATTTTGCACATTGAAATAGATCAAGAACGATCATTTTCTAGGGCACAGCGTTGTATTATGAGGAATAGTGAAATCTACTGTTACAAATGGCTTTTTTATTCCTAGTCTGTGTTCATATTCACACTGTATTAGTATAGAACACACTGTTTTTCTTATTTCTCTATTCTTTGAATGCTGAATTATCAGTACAAGATTTCCACCTGTCTGCTACTCTTTTTTTTTGTCTGCTGACGTATCAACCTTATTTTGTTTTGGTTTTATTTTACTTAGCTAGAATTTATGTTTTTGGCATCCAAATATTTACGTACCACTTGAATTTAGCCTAGGGAGACTACAGGTTTTCAAACTGGTATTCTTGAAATACTGAAAGAACAGAAAAGGAGATCTCACTTAAAAACAAAACAAAACAGCGAAAGTGAAAAAACAAGAATCAGTCTGATACATGAGACTGCATGGGGTAGTTCACTGCTTCCATTCCTTTAAAATGCAATACATTGATGTGTTGTTTCTTTGACGAGTTTTTTTCTGTAGGAACATTACATATAAACTGCAAAGGGAATTATGCCTGGTGATCTTTTTTTTTCATCCTGACTTTAGAGCAGTTATCTTTTCTAGTGTGATTAATTAGCTTCACAGCCTCCCTCTATGCTCTACCTTACATTTCACCTAAGGAAGCTTTTGAATTTTGGGTTAGAAACTGTGCATTGGTAAGTAATTTTTTTCCAACTATTTTTTTCCAACTATCCTGCTGTTTCTGTAACATTACTTTGTGCTGAGAGCACAATGAGGAGTTCAGAGACAGAACAATCCACAGTGATTGTACTGTGTGCTGTTAGTGACCTGACAGCAAAGCCATGGAATCCTCTGTCTGTTGAACAGGGTATGTCAAATTCTGATGGCTCTCAGTGTGCTTTATTAGCATACCACTTACAATATGTACTTACTTGTAGTACTTGTAGTAGTTCATCTGCTTCTGAAGTGCTGTATGCTGTGAAACGCAATGTGACAAAAGATCATTGTTGTATGGAGCCTACAGAGGCAGAAAAATAGGAAATTAACTTTGTGTTCTTCTTTAGTCCATTAATGACCATACGTAGTAAAACTGAAACTTCACCACCCTGTTGTTTTGACATCTTATTCAAGAAGCTACACTACCAGCAAAGCTGGAATTTTATCACCCCGTGTCAGACCTTGGTACCATCTGTTGTGCAACTGACATCATTTCCAGAGGCATCTTCAGGAAATATTTTCTGCCGTGCAAGTACTGACCCTGCTCATAATGTCAGTTTAACAGGTTCATGTCAGGCAAATGTGATCCTTCTCTTCCATATCAGACAGCTTAAAGAGTCTTGCGTAATAACTTGCTGTGTTCCAGATCATTAACATATACCAGTGCTTTAGGTTAGGCTCTAAAAGTATGAAGTATTACTTGCATGTTGATAACACAAGTTAGTGAATCTCAGTAAACATCTACATTTCCTGCCAGGCTGCATCTTTATGCTGTGTGCCAAATGCTGTGCTAACTTGTCCGCAATGCAGCTAGAGCCGTCTAGTATGCACAAGCTACAGCAGCTTTAATTGTTGGAGAAGCATGTTGAATTGGGGATTCTGCTTTCTGCTGTAGGGAAAAAACTGCTCAGTGAAATAAAGGTGTAGCAATGGCGCAGATAGGCGTCGTCATGTTAGCTTTAATTTGCTATTCCTTGTAGCTGCACCAATGAATACACAGTGACTCACTCCATATCACTTGCAAATATACAAAACACAAACCCTCCATGACCAGGGTATGTTGCTGGTAATGCTGTAATATTTCCACTTGTACTAACGCATCTAGCTTACATCTAGAAAAAGTACAAGGAGCATGAATCACAGCTTCATCTTTACTTCACTGTACAAAGGTCTGCTTTGAGCGCAAAGTTTTGGATGGTAGAGCCATGTCTCACAGCCTGCATCACTTCCCAGCTGGATATCCAGGAGACCACAGGAATATCCATCTGTGGTCTTCCTTCCAGGGTGTAGATTTTGCATTAGGAAAAGCTTTTCAGCTTCTGGATCGATAGGACAAGCAGTTAGGTTGAAACACGACCAACTTATTTGGGAAGAAAACAGGAGGAAAACAAAGAAAAAGACTTATCTCTTTCAGCCTATCTTGTCTTTCTGGTAGACCTTATTGAATTGACCAAAAAACAGAAAAAATATCCTTAATTATTAAGGTTCCTTAAGTTCAACATAGAGCATACTGTTGGAAACGGAATCTAGGTTTTCACACTTAAAAGATAATTGTTATCAAAGAAGGAGAAAAAAAATTATTTGTTACCATACTTATGCTCTCTTTCCAACCTGTGAACAGTCCTTAGTTGTTACAAAGTTATCATTTTCTTTTGCAGATAAATTATTATGCACAGTTTAAGTTGCATCTGATCATTAAGAAAAAAAAAAAATCTTTTTTTCCACTTTCAGAGGTTTTTCGTCCTGGATAATGGACTATTAAAATATTCAAAGTCACCAATTGATGTAAGTAAAGTTGAAGACTGTTTTAAAATTTGTGTTAGAATTCAACCTGCTAGAGGCTCATTCTCATACTAGGCACGTTTATCACAAGCGTACACATGAAAGTTGTTGGTGGATTCAAAGAGAGATTTGAATATGGAAAGCATGTAAGTTTTAGGTTGAGTTATATTCCCCCAGATTCTGCCTTTTATTACTTTTGTAAAAATAGAAGGTGTATTACTTAGTTTATTTAATGAAGATGTTTGAAAGATTAGCATGAGCATGTATTGTACCTTTTTAATTTTGATGTCAGGGAGAGCTCATTATATTGTGATATGTGGATAGGACAGAAAAGTGATTATGATGCACTCGAGATGTAAGGGGTAGTATTAAATTAGATACCAATAACCATCAAGCTGTATCAGCAGGGAGCTAAGTGCTGTCTAATTTTCTCAGCTTCTCACTTAACCTGTAGTTACATGCTAGTGTGAACTACCACACTTTTCATTTGGAGTTGGCTCTGCAGTTGTGAGATATTTTTCTCATCTATAAAAGGAAGAAGTTTTTAGTTTGAATACAGGATTTAGCTTTTATGTGTTTTTATACTAAGATATTCCTAAAAAGGGAAAACATTTCAGCACCAGATATTTTGCTGTTAAATATAATGAAATACATGGTACTACCAATTTTGTACTCTGCTTTTTGATTTCAGATACAGAAGGGCAAAGTACATGGAAGCATTGATGTAGGCTTATCAGTTATGTCTATTAAGAAGAAGGCTCGAAGAATAGATCTTGATACAGAAGAACACATTTATCATCTGAAGGTAAAAGTGATGCAAATATGTATTCTCTTTTCATCCACAGTGGAAATACATAATAGTAATTAGGAAAAATCTGCTGTGGGAGAAAGAGTGTTATTTTGAATGCTTCTTTATAATGAGTTACTTTTGTAGGTGAAGTCCCAGGATACATTTGATGCATGGGTTTCAAAATTACGCCACCACCGGTTGTACCGTCAGAATGAGATTGTGAGGTCTCCGAGAGATGCTAGCTTCCATATATTCCCCTCAGCCTCTACTACAGAATCTTCACCAGCTGCTAATGTACCAGATGGAAAGGTACGTTGTGTCCTTTTGTTGGAAACTCATGCCTGCTGGACTTGTTCATGGGCAAGCCTGAGTTTCAGTGGGCTCTGCTTGGAGTGCCAATAGAGAGGAGTTTTCACTGGAGGAACTGATAGCCAGCAAAAAGCTGGGAGTACTGTAGCTTTCATTAATGGGCTGCTGTAGAGACTGTGCAAAGAACTCATTGTCTTCAGAAGAATTTGCACTGGCCTTTTGCATCTGAGGTAAATCTGTCTGTTATTCTGTAGTTTTCTTCCTCTTTAACAACAACTTTTGTAAGTGGTGTTTAGCAAACATAGTTTGTAAGGTCGTTGGTTTGATTCTCCAGCATACTGTGCAGAAATATCTGTGTCATGGGCAACTACATAGCCAAATCACAGATGTCACTGGAATCACAATGTGTACTTTATTTTTTTTATTCCAAAGAAATATGGTGATTATACTGACTGAGCAACACATGCAACAATAAGTGTAAGCATTTTATTATACCTTAGGTACAACAAAATAGCTTCCCATGGCAATCTCCTATACCTTGCAGTAACAGCCTTCCTGCAACCTGCACTACTGGGCAGAGTAAAGTAGCAGCCTGGTTGCAGGACTCAGAAGAGATGGACAGATGTGCAGAAGGTTAGTCTTTACCATTTTGTGCCTTGCTCTTTTAGCAAAATGTCGTGTTGCTAAGAAATAACATACAGTCAATGGAAGTGGTTAAGTAGCATCTTTACGTGCCTATGAGGGAGCTCTTTAGGTAATAAATTAGATGCTTATTGTAGGAACTTCCCTCTTAGCTTGTGTTATGATGTTGCTTTTAAATTTTTTTAAAAAAATATGTATTATCTTAATGGATATCATTATTAAAGTATGCTTAAGTTTTAAGGTCCAATCTTGTTGCTGACTGCCATAGGAATAACAAGTGCTCAACATCTCTGACAATAAGGCTACTACTTAGATGCTTTACTATTGGGTTTGAGGCATTTGACTTCTGTAATACAATAAAATGCCAGTGGTGAACATTATGGCAAAGAAAATATCTGAACTGAAGCACCTAATGATTTTTTTGTTTTCTATGTTTTAGATCTTGCTCATTGTCAGTCAAACCTTGTGGAACTCAGTAAACTTCTTCAAAATTTAGAAATACTACAGAGAACTCAGTCTGCACCAAATTTCACAGACATGCAGGTAATTCTGTTTGATAATAAATAATTATGTTGAAACATTTATTGGTTGCAGTAAAGGTATTGTAAATATGCTCTCTATTAATTTAAAATTGATTTTCTGAAATTGTAGTAACTCTTAGAGGAAAGGCTCATCTTAATCACTTTTATCTTAATCATGTTTAATAGTGTTTAGTGTGTAAATGGATAAGATGTATTAAGATTATTTGAGTTAAATAGGAAGGATCAAATAATTAAGTCATTTGCAAAAGCAGAACTAAGAACCATTACAATAGAATTATACGTACACACTGAAATTATATTTAAGGAGCTGTTATTGTGCTCAGTAAGATACTATTTTAAGTTTTTAAGGAGTGCAGTTTCAAACCTTTGAGATGGGAGGACATTTTATGTTCTAGAAAAGAGGGCATAGTCACAAAGGTCCCAAGCACTGGACCATTTCCCACTTCAGGGTGAGTTTTCCTCTTGACCAAAAAAAGCAGTAGCAGATTTTTAAATCTTAAATACTTTCTTCCTTTTTCACTCAGGCCACTTGACTATTGAAGTCTCCCAGTGGTGTTTTTGTGTTGAAAATACTAGTTCCAATGAGGACACTTACCATTTCAGGAAGAGCTGAGCATTTCTCTGATAGTGACAAAATAGAAATACATGAGGATTTCAAAATTTGTTCCTAAATGTTGCTTGCTATGAAGACAGTATACCAATTGTTGTGCTACATAAGTTGAACACACCTTTTTTTTTTTTTTTAATAGTGGGGGCATAGGTGTCCACAGCTGGTCACTGCTGTAGTTGCAGGTCATGGCAGCAGCATTCTTTTCTTCACTTTCTAATTTATTAATGTCTAACACTACAATTCTTTACTAACTCGGTGTACTGTCTGTATTGCTTGTGTCAACTTAATAGTACCTTGTTGCTTTTAACTATTTGTGTAATGTAGGCTAACTGTGTAGATATTTCAAAGAAAGACAAGCGGGTCACAAGACGATGGAGAACAAAAAGTGTCAGCAAAGATGCAAAAATTCAACTCCAGGTACTGAATCCACAATGTTTTCCTTTTCACTAGATTAACTTCTAAGCATGAACTGATATATTAACTGAAAGTAGGAATTCAATGTACTGTCTCTTATGTTCCTGATGATGCAAATTAAATCTCAATTGGTTGTTCAAAACCTAGGCAAGATAGTGAAAAATGTATTGACTTTACTTTCATTCATATGAAAACATTGCCATCTAGGGAGAGAGGCTGAACACTAGTCAGCTAAGGTGCGAAAAAGACTGTATGCCTGCAGCGCACAGGGATACTGGTATTCGATCTTTAAACTAGAAGAGAGAGACGGTTGAGCAGGTGACATCAAACTAAACAGAAAACATGAATGAAGTACTAAACACGCCAGTTGCCTTTGTCAAAACCTATACTAGGAATGTTACCAGTGAGAAGTTATCAAAAGCCCTATCTTATGAAACAGGCTACTGTGGGAACAAATTGAATTAAACCAAAGAATAAATTATATGAAAAAAAAAAAACAAAAAAACAATTGACGTCATCCTGCCTTAGATCTGAAAAGTAGAAGCACAGAAATAAGCATAGAAACCCTGAGTCACTTCTAGATCCAGGGAATCTTACTGTGTTTTGTCAGAAATAGCTGTGTTTTGAAGCCTAATCCAAAAACTGCTTTATTTTTTATAACTGAGCAACTGTTAATGAAGACTATACTTTACAGACTTCAGGAGCTAACAATTACCACTGTGCTGTCTGCTGTGGAATAAATATATGTCAGCAACTTCTGATTAATTTAAATTCCTTGAAATTCATGCAGACTTTTAAAACCTTTAATATGTCCCTCAGAAGCATAATAAGGAGTTTCTGTGACTCAGAGACACAGTAAGAAGTTCTCTGTGACTCATTTAAGACTGACAGCCTTAAGGAAGGAAGACTGTAAGGAAGGAAACTTGGATTGCAGCTGTAGTAGGTGACTTTTCTTTCTAGCTGTTATTCTAGATTAAGGACAACATGTTGAACAATGAAATATCTGTTGTAATCTGGTGTAAAAAGCTTTATTAACAAGGGAATTTTGGTGGTTGATGTCATACCCTATTATCTGCATGTGGAAGATCACTGTGTTTCCTTGTTGTTGAATAATTGTAGGCTACTAAAAGTACCAGGAAAATGGATGCAAGCATTTGTTGGAAAGGCAGAGGCAAAATCCATGTTCTTCTTTCATACCACAGCGGTCTAAAGAAATTTCTCTCAGTAAAAAAAAAAAGATGTAAAAATTTTTAAGACAACAATACGTGATGATCTAGGGTGCATCATAAGGAATTGTGAGCTATTCCTGAGTTGCCTGTGCCCTGTCAAAGTGACACTGTGCTGGGCTTCCTGTGGGAGACTTAGTTTGGCACCTGATTCTCAGGATGCTGTTGGTGGTATGGGTCACTTTGCAGATTTCTCTGAGAGTTTGTATGCATAGCACTGCTTTACTTTGGTCTATCATTGCTGGGGGGAGATAGTGAACTCTGCTTAGCCTGGGGCAGCTTTGACTCCTGACGAGTGTAAAGCTGGAAAATAAAAAGCTTATTTTATTAGAGCAAAGCATTAAATGATTGATGACTGACTTACAAATTAATTTGCAGGGAAACAGAAACAACAAAACGATTCTAAATTTATGTGCAAGATGAAAATTTTATTTTTTTGGCTGTTTCAATATCTTAACTAACTTGATTGGCTCGGTACGCTCTTTATAATTCTGAGGACTATTCTGTCCCAGGAATGGTCTAACGCTGTGATCTGTGGAAGATGGTCTCATTCTGACTCTTGTGTTAATCATAATTTGCTCATGCTGCTATTCCACTGGATTTCCTCACAGATTGAAGTTTTTTTTAAGCTTGCTCTCCTGTGGTGTTTTTCTATTAACCATTTTTTTCTAGCTTCATTCCGTATAGGTAATTTTTTCAAGATTACTCCACCACTTTATAAACTATTATCCACTACTTTGAATCACTATCTAATTTGTGATCATTTCTTCATGGACAATACACATGATTTGTTATTAAATAGTTGAGAGATTTGATGCCAGAAAGGCTTTTGTTGTCCTTTTCCTTTCCCCCTTCCTCCATACGTATCATTAGTTTTTTTGGGATAATACTAATAATAACATACTAACTTCCAGCTAGATGGACTATTAATTCCATTTGAAATACACGCACCAATTGATTGTAGAATAAGGAATTATTAATTACCATAAAATGACCTTTTGCAGTATGAGATTGAGAGCCAGAGAGCATGAAAATGAGGTGTTCTGTTCACAAATAGCAGGGAACAATGCTGTAATTTTTGCTAGCTCTGTGTCCACTGTGTAAGATGCAATGAGAAAATTCTCCCATCTAGTGTCTATTGTACTCAAAATGAGTTAGTAAGATAGTTTTTGTGTTCCTGCTAACACATTCCTAGAATATGAGTGCGAGGTATATAAAGAGTTTTAAAAGTACTTTTTATTGTGAGGACAAGTTTGTCTACTTGCTTCTACTTGCTTTGTTTTTTAGAAACATTTGCCATTTAGGTATACCAGTCGTGTATGCATGTAACTTTGTTTACTGTGGTTAATTCCCCAATAAAAGTGGGGTTGCTTCACTGAGGAAAATTAATCATAGCATGTACATATGTGTTTTTCTTACAATTGGGGGTTTAGTTTTGCTGAATAAATAGCTTAATTTACAAGCCTTTATTCAGGAGAAAAATACTTGAATTGTTTCTCTGAAGAAGGATTGCTTATATAAGGGAGGTTTATTTTATTTTTTAAAAGTATTTTAAAAATGTCTTAAAGTAATCTACAACAACAGGTTAATCAGTCTGCATTCATTCTTTTGTACAAAAACTGACTTTTTTTTGTTTGGTTAAAGAACAATTTTACATTCTCATGATTGTCTAAAGATCTTGAAAGGAAGAAAAAAATACTACCGAACAGCAACAAAATGAACTATCATTGATATAATTTCATTCAGTGCTCAGAGAAGTACAGTTCCAAGACTTATTCAAAGGAAGACGGAAGGAGAATTTATTTAGCAGAACTATTTAGTACAGAATGATCTGAAAAGTCAGCTTGCTCTGCTGAGGCTTCCAGCTCATGAATTATTGGTTTATTACTTTTTTTCCTTCAATAAGTACTTAATGACATGTTATTAATTGTAACTCAGATAATTACCTGACTTCATATTGTGTTTTGGGGTGGTGCTTCTGTGGAACTCATTGTTTCAATTTTAGTAATGTGTACCTGCATTCAGAATCTTGCATTTTTTGAGTGCTTAATATATATACGTTTGTGCATCTCTTTGTACATGTATGTATAAATTTATGTCTCTATTAGTTAAACAGTAATAATCTTCAAAACTCTGAATGAGAGTATAGTTATACTTCTGTAGAGCACAAAGAGCTTAAAATTCTGCATATGATGCAGCCTCTTCTTTAATGAAGTTGCTAGTCTTCTTTAATGAAGTTGCTAGTTTTAGAAGTTATCTGCATGTTTTTAACAACAAAATAAAAGGTGCAAATCAAAGCTTCTTTTACTGCCATTATTAGGCAACTCTTCTTGGTCTATAGTTCTGCCAGTTGTATCAACCAGAGGATGGGAGGGTATGGCCTTTCTCAGATGCACCAATCCCACAAGAAAGGGATTATTAAGGCTCAAGGGGCAAGGACTTCAGCTAATAAACTACAGTATACTGTTCTTCAGCATGATGTCCTTGTGTCTGAGTACCATTGCTATTTCTGTGATACGCAAGTTGCTTTCAGAAAAAGAAAAATGCATATGAATTTAAAACACTGAAATTGCTGTAAATGCATATATAGATTAAGAAGAATGTGAATAATTGTTTTTTTCTGTAATAATAAGGTGGCTTTTTAGTGTTATAAATTCATCCAAATGCTTCGAAACAGTGACATTATGTTAGGCATCAAGTAGAAGAGCTTTGTGGTAGGTGTGGAGCTATTCTGCATCATGTGTACATGCTGCATGAAGTCTGCAACTTTGATGTACCGTGATGGATTTTGTTATAAGTCATGTAAAATTTAAGTTATGCGGGATGAAGCCACATGTTAGACATGCAAAAAACACAGTTGTTGGAACACTTAGTTTTCATTTGTGCTACTCTGTCTGAGATTTTGAGTTGCTTTGAAAGCCAAGCCTTCAGTAATGAATAAAATGAGAAATAAGATCTTACAACACAAAAGGATGATATGTGGGGAAAATGAACGCATAAGCCTAAGGATGGACAGAGAAATGCCAGAAATGTGCACAGGAGTATTTATGTAAGGAAGCTTCCTATAATGTACACACTCACGTTTTACTATTGAGATGCATGCATCTTCGGTAGCCACAGTTGGTGCACTTCCACAAATGCAAAGTGATCTCTTCAGAATTCATCTTCTAGATGGTCAAGTGAAGGAGTTTTTGTTTTGCATTTTCTTCCATGCCATAGCATCTGTTTTGTTTTCTTATTCCATAATTGCGTTATGACTCTGAACAGCAAAGCTAATAGTATTAATTTTTCTTTTTTTGTCCACTGCAGTCCAACTCTTCTGGAGATAACGTTAGCGAAGTACCTAGCTATATAAGTCTCTGGCATACACAGGTGAGAACATACAACATGTTCTCAAAATGTGTAGGACATAAGAGTTAACAAAATTGAAATCCACTTAAAGACTCTCCCTCTCCCTTTTCTGATCATCTTTCATCCTCCTGTGTCCATCACCCCTTCCCTTCTCTTTCTCTACTTCCTTCTCTTCTTGCATTCACTGTCAGGAAGGGCCGGCACCGAAGGGCCAGTTCAGCACAACACGACGCCGGCAGAGACTAGCAGCTGCAGTGGCTACAACAGTGAGTGGATTTTAAAAATCAAGGCATAGCTTGAAAGATGGGAAGCTGTGTAACTTGAATGCGTATTAAGCTTATGAAGCTGGTTCTTGCACTTTATGGAGGTGTCCATGCTACCCATTCTGAGCTGAGTCACTTAGAAGTGATCAGGCCTGACACAAGTGGATCTGAGCTTGTTTTCATGGTAATATCCCTCTTCCTTTATGCAAGTGCAAGTGATGAAAAGACTCGGGCCCTGCACTGTTTGAAAATAGCTTTGTTATACGCTCTATATTATTTAAAATGGACCGAAATGATCACATTTTGTTAAAAGATTCTCATAACGGTCTATAGTAAGACAGTGAAGACGAGGAGATTTGCTACAAACAAACGAAATAATGACGCTTCCTGATTTATTTTTTTTTAGTAACGTAAGATTAGCCTTTTCATTTAAGGTACCTTGTTTACATTCCATGATCCAAAAAAGTCATATTACTGTTGCTAGTGTCAGTTTTTCATTTTTGCTAATTCTCCAACCTTTAACACAAAATTTGGAGCTCTAAAATCAACATTCAGGCTCCTAATTGGGAGTGGGAAATGCTGTTTATGAAACCAAATTAGCATCGTAAGTATACCTTCAGCTGCTGCTTTGTCAGGAAAGCAATTATTAGGAATGCACAATATAGATTAGTCCCTCAAAGGATTAGTGAAATGGATGGGGAAGACATAAAGATATAGGGAAAAAAAGAACTCTGTGCAACTGAAGAATACAGTGAGCTTTAAACACATACCTCTACCTAGCTCAAGCAGTCAACATCAAGCTAAAGTTTTCGAAGGTGTGCTGCTCCAGCCCATAGCTGAAATCCACTAGTTCAGATGTAGCTTCTGCCTAAGCCTGAATAATTTGAGTCCTGTTGCCAGAACCATGAACCTCATTTGCTATTAGGTCCTCCTGAAAAACAAGAGAGAAATCAGTGCTCCTCCAGTTCCCAAAATAACTTCTCTAAATTTAATCCCTTGTAATCAGTTGAAGCCATGTATAGATGCAGAATATCAGTCAATTATTGATTGGGTTATTTTATCTCCTCTGCCTTTGTAGCAGAGAAATAAACCCCCATCTCAGTTTGCTGTCTTTGTAGTCTGGAAGATACAGAATTACATCAGGTAAAATGCAGAAGGGGGATGCTTGTGTTACAACGCACTGTATTGGGAACAGTCTGTCTCTACATGAGCATGCAGTTCTGAAGACGCCGATGAACGAGTGTTATTTCAGCCCTTAGAATAAATCAGAAAGTCAGGACAAGGTGTACCTGAAGTCGTGTATTCAAGAATGAGGAAGAAAAACTAGAGGGATGTATCAAGAAGCTAAGTACTTAAAAAGATAGAAAAACTAATAGGTAATCAAGGCAGCATCAGACCACCATGGGTGTAAAGAGAAAGCACTACAGTGAAAGAAAAAAAAAAAAGGGAAGAGAGATTTATGGACATTGCTTCTTAGACTGCTGGTTATTCAAGAAAATAAGTTTGTTTGGTGTTGATTTTTTTTTTTTTTTTCCATTGGTTGTGGAAAGTAGCTTGGAAACTCTTCCAAGATGCAGATGAGGAGAGTTCATATAGTCAACAGTTAATTATTTTTGGGTCTTGTATCTAAAGCAGTCAGCAAAGCAGTTACTTGTCTCTGACATGTCAGTGTGTATTTCTTGCAAGCAATGTGACGGTAATTGTAGAGCATGCGAATGCTGTTTCTAGGACATACTTTCATACTGTAAATAAGATGTTCTTTTTTTCAATAATCCTCACCAAAAAACATTGCTTTTCAGCCTGGCCAGCTGAGGTATGAGGCAACAATGCTATCTCTAGAAGGAATTTATTCTACATTCCTGTTAACAAAGTCGTCTTGATATGAGTCAAAAATGAAGTCCAAAAAAAAAAACCATCTACTTTGATGGTATAGTTAGAAATCAAAACGAAGAGGATAAAGTTTACAGTGGTTAGGTGCCATGAAGCCATTAGTCTGTGCTATATGTATATGGAAATTGAAGGGCAAGGTCGAAAATGGTATTGCCAGAATGTGCTCAAGATGTGATTAGTAGGTCCAGTTGGATTTTAAGGGAGAAACCTAAAATGGTTATTGATGACAAATGTAATAGGAAGGGATTGATAGAACTATTCTTTAATGTAATCAAATAACAAGGTACCAATTTCAGATACTGATAGCAGTATATAACTTATCTGTTGATGTAAAAAAAAATGTATCTTAGTAATATGACTTTTTATCTGCTACTCAGTCATGTCTCAGAAGACTCTTTTTTTCCCTCCATTTTTCATATTTAAATAATTACATTGGGCTGCAGTGTGGAAGTTTTTGATTTATACATTTGGTCAATATCATAAAATAAATTAGCTTGAATTTGTTTAACAATGCTTAAAACTGAAGTAAAAAAATGTAGTTCTGCACGCATTCCCCTTTCATTTAGTTTTGAAAATTGGGTTCTTGACTGGATTTTTTTATACAAATGTATGTAAATGATAAAATTAAAACATACTGTCACGCACGTATGTCACATACATAAAGCACTATACATACATTACTTATGGAACATATAGGTAACTAGTTAGTACACGTGATATATATAAAACTTATAAATAAGGTACGAATGTATATTTTTGTTTACTGTACTTGAAAGGTATAGAAGGAAAAAGAGAAGTGAAAACTAATAAACGAAAGTGTTTACTGCATTTTACTTAACTGCATCTCTTTGCATTAATTTGTGACTCTTGTACTTCAAATGAAAATTAACTGGAAATTTAATTAATTAATTTTTTTTTTTAGATAGAAAATGGAAAGACCACGTGATTTTTCCCTTTTCGTTGTTGCGTGTACAATGGTTTCTACTTAAGGTTTAACAGTGGTTTTCAGATTGTTAGGTAGATTAATTTTCCACGATACATTTGAGAATAGTGTATCCTATCTCTAGGTCTGTGGAGGAACTTGCATGTTGGTACTGTAAAAATGGATTCATACTATGTGGACTCTCCAATGACAAAATACAAAGAAGCATGTGTGGCTGAATTTTTTTGTCTTCTTTTAAGCACTAGGAAATGACTAATTTTTGTAAGTGTTAGAATTGAAATATTCCACTGCTAGCAATTAGCTCAATACTTAGGCTATTTTTGTTTGTTTCAGTGAAAGTTTTCAAGTACTACAAGGAATTCTGCATCAACTATGCTGTGATTTAGGACAGTAAAAAGTTACATGTTTTTTTCTTTGTTCTTCACATTTCAACCAAGCACTTTTTTTTTTTTTTCAGAAGGAATAATTTATATTTTACTTCAACAGAATTATAAAGTTGGTTTGCTTCTTAAACAATACATCTTTACTGTTTCTTGCTGTAGGTCCCTTTCAGTGCCACGATGTCCCCGGTTCGTCTGCATTCGTCCAATCCCAACCTTTGTGCAGATATTGAGTTCCAGACCCCCCCAAGCCATGTAACAGATCCTCTGGAGTGCTCTACAGAGTACATGAAACTTCAAGAAGAATTCTGCCTGATGGCACAAAAAGGTAACTAGAAATCTCAAACCTTTCCTTTACTGTGCTTTTCTGTGTTTTGTTATTACCTTGACTTTGTCATGGCCAAGATGTTCATCTGTGTTAGATGATACCAGAAAAGAATATAGAGCTGGTCAGGTGATTTACTTAAAGATTACATATACTATCCTTCATGTTTTGCATAGATATTGTGAGTATGGAGAAAGGTAAACCCTCAAATGAGGGCTTTCCTTTAGAAAGAATCTGAACTTGTTTTTGCACCTTGTAAATACACGTTTGATACTGGAAACATTTAGTTTTATCTCTTCCAAAAAACAAATCAAAATGTCACTAATACATAACCTTGTGCAGGAATTTTTTTTCTAGGTGCAAATTTTTGTGAGATATTCTCTGCATCTATGGATGCAATGAAGGTAATGCTTACTATCAAAACGTACTTTAGAAATGTCATTGCATTGCCAAAAAAAAAAAAAAAAAAGGTTCTGCAGATTGAAAAAGGCTTTTAAATAGAACTTGCAGTCAGTTTGCTATTTGGTAAGTAAAAAAAACTCAGGAAAAATATGACACTACTTAAAAATTATCAAAAGTTTATTTGAAGACCAAGTAAGCCTTGTTATTGATGCAGTATTAAGTCTTAATCAAACTTCAGATTTTATTACTCTGAAACATAAACAAAGAAACAGAAAAGAAAAAAAGAAAGCATCAGACACAGATTTTCCAAATATACAATTTTTCATTCACTCAGCATCAAGAATATACTCAAATAAGGTGCGAACACATTGTATATACGTTGCAACTCTAAGAAATATGTGTTTGTACTTAATTTGGATACAGATTACTTCAAATTCATTCAGGCCTGTGTTTCAAATTTCTGTATGTGTGGGATAGAAATTTCACTCTGTCTTTATTGCTAAAGTATTTTAATAAATGTAAATACGTACTTCCATATCTGAGAAAACCTGTTATCTTTTTTTTTTCCTTAGTGCATTCTCTTTTGAAGTCTGCCTTTAACAGCATAGCTATAGAGAAGGAGAAGCTTAAGCAGATTGTCTCAGAACAGGATCTTACAGGTCACAACACTCAAATAGCACACCTCAGACAGTCCCTTTCTCAGGTATGTTTTTTATTTGATTGCATGCTCAGCTAGTTTGCCAGATGCACCTTTTCTTTGTGTTTTGGCTATTTCCTGAGGTGTAGAGGGAGCCAAGCGAACAGCAAGGTTCTTAACCAGAACTATGGCATATATTCTGTTGTGGACATGAGAACAAAGGTCCAACCTCAGTGCATGTGGAGAATGTGTGTGTGTGTGTGTGTATATATATATACACATGTATTTATTATAATTTATTATAATTTTCCAAGGTAAAATGAGCATTAACAATTTTTATGGGAGTGATAGATATCTTTTTTTTGGAGCTGCCTCTAGTACATTCAAAGAGATACTCTAGTTTTTTTAATTAAGTTTTAAATTTTGACTGTATATTTTCAGATTTGTTTTATATGTCCCTGCCTCCAACTGCAAAAGGAATTATGTGTTAAAGAATAATCATGGGTAAATTGGATTTTCAGATCCAAACCTGTTATTGGCCAGTCTCTCCCACTTAAGCTAAAGAAAAAATTGTCATTGGCTTTAGTTGGGAAGAAGAGATGAAGCAACAGTAAGTGCTTTGAACTAGCCTACACTATTCTGTGAGAGGTATCTTCAGGTTGCAAAACAACTCCAGTTTTTGAATTTAGAAAAGCTTGCACAAGCAAGAAATAAGAGCAGAGGTGTAGGGGCAAATAGAAATTGACCCAAATGTGAAGATAATTTCATGCAGTATTATTGTTACTGAGTTGTATTTTTTTGCCGTGAAAGTAAAATTGAGACATAATGTTTCTTTAGACATAGATGCATGATGTTACATAGATTGATTACTGCATATGGCAATAAAGAAAGATTAAGGAAATTAAGGCCAAAATATGAGGGTAACCATTTCTTGTCACTGATACAAATTTAACCAGGACTTGTGGAAACTTGCTAGCAACCGCTATGAAATAAATGGTGGTACGTTCCTCTTGTTCTTGACCTCCAGTGTCAGTCTGAAAATCACTGTCACTCATCAGTTCACTGTCTCAGTGGGCAGTAAATGGAAATTTAGCCTAGTCAGTCTCTTAACCAGGTTTTGGCAGTTTAGGAAGCTACAGCCCAACTGATGTTAGTGGTCTTACCTTGCATTTCCTCTTCCATGTGAACATGCCCAGATCATTTCAGAATGAAGCAAAATGGCATCGTTTAAACTGTCTTCAGTGACTGTTGAAACCCATTTTACTTTGATCCTACTTTGTTTCAGTGCAATCATGTAATCTGCTCCACGGGAAGGAGCGGAAAGATTGTGACTGTGATAACAGTAATTGCCCACTACAACAGTATGTCTGCTGTTCTATAATTCCCAGTGCAAGGGATACATTAGGTTTAAGTCAATTCACATTCTGGGTATATAACATTATGCTTTTTTGGATTTCAGCAGACATGTAGTCATGTCCTTCTAGAAATGAAGTGTGTTTATAATCTAGCTTGGGCATTAAAAGAGGAGAAAAATTAGCAGATACCAGGCACAATTTACATTCTGCTGGCATCAGTTTATGTTGTGGTCCATAGTTTTTTTGTGAGCACACACATCCAAATGCAGCAGCTTGGTCTGGACAGATGGACACTCAGTGATGCTAGTGGTTTTGTTGTTTTCTGCTGAAAAGCAAGCAATTTCCTTCCGTGGGCTGTAAGAGTTGATAACTGTCATTCAGAAAGTGCTGTTGAGCCATAAATCAAGAATATTGCAGTTGGTTTCTTTTCATCGTTCTGCAGTTTCGTTCTTTCTTGCTACATTCACTTTCCATTTCTGTAATGCACATAAGCTACTGGCGTAGCTGCCAAAGAGCTACTTGAAGAATTAAGGTAGAATGTGACTTACATTGTGGGAGAGTATCGGTGCCCTCTGACCCTGGAAGATAATTGAAAGCAAGCCAATGAAAAGATGAAATTATGTTATAGGGGATCTTGAAATGGGTATTTGCTTATAAATGAAAGAAATTAGGTTCTGTGACTTTTCTTTTTTACAAAATTTCTGAGGTTAAGATTTTTTAAAAATATTTTTTGGCTGTTTAACACTTTTTAAAATTTGTAAATAAAATGTGTGATTTTTATTTTAAGGCTCTCAACCAGAATGCTGAACTAAGGAGTCGCTTGAACAGAATACATTCAGAATCTGTTATTTGTGATCAGGTTGTCAGTGTAAATATTATCCCTAGCCCTGATGAGGTAAGACTTCAGCCTTTACTGGGTTAGAATATGATCAAACCCTGCTGTTCCCCACTAATAGCTAAAACAGATTATCAGATCTTTCAGGCTGGAAATTGGATATTTGTAGACGTTTTCAGACTATATTTTCCTACATAAAATTTAAACTTTTGTCTTTGAATATGTCAGGGCTCATGAAAGAACTATGTTCTCTGCAGAGAAACAGGGAAGGATTGCAGCTTTGTGGGAATTAATGAGGTTTTACTGTAATATAACACACAATAACGCACAGTAGGTATCTAGTTCTGTATCTTACTTCTTTTGCCAAATCAACAAAACAAAAAGTGTAGTGTCTAATGGAGAGTGCTTAGGTTTAATATCTTGAATAGTGTTCAGAGGGTTCAGTGCATGAACCAAGCACTATACTAATAGCATATTTGCAACATGTAGTCTATCTTGTTTTGCTTTTTTCAGTTGAGAGATTATCAAACGTATTACAGAGACAGAATCAGTCTCCCCTGTGAGAAGGACAGATCTGAATTTGCGACCTGTAATACTGTTGCATTTAATACTGTCATTTTGACAGCCATTCTGCTTGCATTTTACTGAAATACTTTACATTTGTCACTTCCATTCGTTATTTTCTACATCATTTCAATTAAAATACTGTGGTTTCCTAATTATTTTTTCCACGAGGAAAGGCAAGTGAAAATCTGTTTCTGGTTACTTTATTTGATTTTTCAAAGCATCCCTACAATTTTTTGAATGCTGACAAAGAGAAGATGGAGGTGACACAGTGCCAGGGCACGGCAACCTGCAGTTGGAGCAGCTGACAGTGAAGTTCTGAGCAATTACTGTCTCTTCTATTTTGTATTTTTTGGAGCTTAGCTGTTTCTTTTTTAATATGTTGTCTTCATACGAGTGTGTCTGATTGAAAAAGAGTTTCAGAGAGGATCCCAGATCTCTCTTTCACTTTTATAAGTATAATCTTAGTTTATAGAATATGCATTTTTGAGCATCTTCTATATGTATTTATTATAATTCATCAAATGTCATAAATCATCCACAAGCTTATAAACCTCAGTTAAAAAGGATGAATTTTTGACCTCCTGGCTTGTTTGTGACTTTTTTTATTGTCAGTGCATTTTGAAGCATCTGTGTAGAAATAGGACGAAGGTGTCAACAAAGTCATTTGCAAGACTTCTGGAGTAAAGTTAATGGAGATGATATTCCAATATGAAGAGAAACTGTGTTTAAAACACACTGTATTATCCTAGAAACATTATGCTGTATAAATTAAGGGATTAAATAAGAAGTCTGTTTGCCTCCACAGCAGCTGCTGCTTTGGTGGAATAATTCAGAGAGAGAAGCTTAAATATTTTGTTCCTTCTTTTTAAAAGCTTGTAGAGTAACATGCTGAAACATGGCGTTCCTCTCGTCAAATAGGAAGAGGAGGAAATGTTCAATTATTTAAATTAGCTTGTCCCTGAATTGATATCCACAGAGCACAGGTTGGGAATTCTTGCATTTGCTGTTAAATTTTCTTTAAAATAAACTATAGGGAATTAATCCCCATTAGTAATTGTGAGTCAGTGTTAATCGCTTAATTCAAATGAGATTTGGAATACATATATGATAGCCATGCTCCTGGATATTCAAACTTTTCAAACATTTATTACTTGACTAGTTAGCAAGTCTACTTATTTTGAAGGTAATGTGTAACTCCCTAGCCTGATTGAGTTTTTGGAGCTGGATCCAAGTATTGTTAGTTGTTATGATCCGGTATCTTTTCATCTGAATTTCATAGTTGAACTCATTTGACACAGTGCAGCTATTGTCCACCAAACCATTCTTTTGCATAGAGAATTAACTCTGTAATTATTCGCTGCTAAAGCTTAGTAGCGAGTGCAACTTAGAAGTAGACCTTAAATGAAGACAGGTTGAACTTGATTTTGTAAGTGTTCCAGCCTCGCTTATTGGGTACACAAGAAACCCTACTAACATGTTATCTTTACTGTCTTTTCCTATATGTGACACAGAAAAATATTCAGGTCATTTACCACTTTTATGCGTATTTCTTTATTATTAGAAGTAATATTTATATTTCTCTGTGCATTACTTGCAGACGGGTGAACAAATTCATGTCAGTTTGCCATTGTCTCAGCAAGTTACTAACGAGAGCAGGCTCTCTATGTCTGAATCAGTGTCAGAGTTCTTTGATGCACAGGAGGTGCTTTTGTCTGCCAGCTCGTCAGAAAATGAGGTAGGCTATGACAGTGTACTGCAGCCTTGCTGTCAGACAGATTCAGGTATTGATGTCACTAGTGAGTGGTTATTTTTTAATGCTATTTAGAATAAAAAGGTATCAGAATGCATAAGGTTTAGATAAATTTGCCCGAGACGCATTTGTGATGGGCTGCAGAGGTTCTATGAAGTGTAAAACTGAGCTGGAAGTTGTATCAATAATTTATGTTCATTACATGTTCTTACTAGACTATGTCAGTTTCAGGCAAAGATGACAGCAGCAATTAGGTCTGACTATGTGGTCAACTAATTTAGACTTTAAAGTATTCATTAAAAATAAAACAAAACAAAGTTCTTCTATCATATTTAAGTTATTCTCTGTAGTCAGAGAAGTAGACAAGTGTCAAAAATTGTCTCATTGAAGCTCAAAGATGACCCTGCATCGTGTGGCTGCCCACAACTTTCCCATGGTATTTGAGGTAACTGTGCAATATTTTACAGATTGGCACTTCAGCATCCCATTGGAGATGTGCACAAGACAGACAGAGATAAACAATTATTTTAATTGTTCTGAAGAAAAGAAGTTTAAACAAGAATTTTAAAAGTAGTTTTAACACGGATACAGTTCTTGTTTTTCAGAATGATAAGTCAATGTTTGTATTTGTTTCTGCTGAAATGTACAGTTTAATGTTTGATTCTGTATAAAAAACACAAGTCTGACCATCTCTTCTTACCTCCCATCCCCCATGTGTTATGCTGTCCTTTTTTACTTCTTTTGATCTCATTTGGAGTCACACTTTTGTAAATTTAATATTTGTATTTGGCTTCATAATAAGCAATGCAGAAACATAAGGAGAGCATAGAATTTATTTTGACACTGTTGGTGCATTGGAAGTATGGCTGATTGAAACCTCTAGTTGATTTAGTTAATATCTCTAATTGAGTGCCGATGATGTATTTGAATATTTTTGTTTCAAGTCATTGTGTGTATAATTTTTTAGTAAACTTTATATACATTTGAATTAATTGATATTTTATTTATGTTCTAGGCTTCTGATGATGAATCTTATATCAGTGATGTGAGTGATAATATATCTGAGGACAACACCAGCGTTGCAGACATTTCTCGGCAAAGTATACTGCTACATTTTGAACTTTGGGAAATTATGTTGGTTTTGTGATTTGCTGCTTCTCTGTACAAGACCAACTTTGCTGAAATCAGTGAAGCTGGGCTTATTTTTTCTGGTTGTGAATTTAGTTCAGTTACCGAGACTGTTTTCCTTTGTGTGGTGCTATGTTGTGATAATACTTTTCTCCCTTCCCAGTTGTCAATGGTGAACTAACTGGAGGAGCATTCAGGAATGGACGGCGAACTTGTCTCCCGGCTCCCAGCCCTGACACCAGTAACATCAATCTATGGAATATCTTGAGAAATAACATTGGCAAAGATCTTTCCAAAGTATCCATGCCAGTTGAGCTAAATGAGCCTCTGAACACCTTGCAACATCTTTGTGAAGAGTTGGAATATAGTGAACTCTTGGACAAGGCTGCTGAAACGGATGATCCCTATGAACGCATGGTAATAAATTTAATGTAGCACTTCTTATGTCTGTATTAAAAAGGAAACTGTTTTGTGGAGGTCTATGCAGGGCCCTTTATTGCTCTTCCATTTCATGGAGCTCCCTGCTTGGGCAGGTCCAATAGGTATGTCTGTGTTTTTCACCTGACAGCCAGCAGCCAGCATTTGGCTCTTGTGTTTTTGTGTATTGTGTCTTTTCTTCAGGGGAGACAGGGAAAGGTGGTTAAGGGACTTGGCAGCGCTATTGCTGAACATATTTGTTGTTCCCTGGCACAGCGTCGCAGCACTGCAAATACCTGGCAGTAGATGGCTTTTTGTCATGGCCGGGTACTCAGGTTCATTAACTGCCCTGTTCACGTGGCCTGAAAGGGAGCAAGGGATTCTAAATGCTAGTGTTTTTTCCTTACCTCTGAAGAATTTGTACCTGTCTTATGGTAGGAGCTTGAAGAGGAGGTAGAAGAGTTCAGGAAGAAAAAGATGGTACAACTGAAATATTCCTTGAATTAAATCCTTATCTCTGCTACAGAGATGTAGTGCACTACTGGGCAACTGGTACAAACCAAACTTAACAAGCACCTTACATTTGCACACCCTAGCTGAGGCACTTTTAAAAACTGACGAATGCTGAGCTACCCAGATCAGACCATAAGTGGTAACTGTGCTGTGAATGTTGCCTGCTTCTGCTCTGCTATTGGAAAAAAACAGGAGCTTGTCATCTGTGTGCCTGACGTGATTCCTTGAACTGCAGTTGCTAACTGGAGCTGCAATCTGAATTAATGTGGCATGTCGGTTAGCATAATACTCCAGCTGAGTCTTGTTCAGAGGTTGGAGTATACAGGTAGATATAGGGGGTGGACAGGCCGCACATGCACGGGAGATTGTGAGATAACTTTGCATGAAGGACATCATCAGTGGGAGCTCTTTGTGTTTGGTAGTAAATAAAATGGGTACCAATGGGGGAAAATTGAATGTGACCCTGTCATTAAAAATTATCATCCAATGCTCACAAAGAGCATGGGTGGTTGAGTCTGTGTTGTAGGTCATGGGTAAGCCTGATCAAAGGTAGGAAATTAGTGTCTTGTACAGATTGTTTTAGGGGCCTATGAGAAGAGACTGACATAGGCCATGAAAAAAAATTATACCATGGGAGAAACCCAGTCTGTACTGGTTCTAGCTGGGTTGTGTGGTTTACTTCCAAGTGTGCTTCCTTAGTTCAGATTCTGCTATGTGGTATTCTACACTACAAGAATCTCAGCCTATTTTCTGTTATGTTCTTGTCTGTATTCTGACAGGTTCTCATAGCTGCTTTTGCAGCATCAGGTTATGCCTCTACGTATTTCAGAGCAGGAAGCAAGCCATTTAACCCCGTGCTTGGTGAAACTTATGAATGTATTAGAGAAGACAAAGGATTTCGATTTTTCTCAGAGCAGGTAAAGCTTGTTTCTAGATGGGTATTGATGTTTAGATTTCTTTGTTTGACAGAGTGACCTTCTTCCTTCTTATGAGTTAAAATAGTTTGTTTTCTTAATAGTAAAGAAAGGTAGCAAGTATGAAAGAACTCATTAAATACTAGAAGGTGTCTGTTTTTATAGTAATTTCTGTCGTAGTGTTTTAAGCAGATAATGTAAAACTGAAGCTTAAACTGTCATCTGGTTTCATAGCAGAACAAGTTAATAGTGTAGGCTGCTTACTATCTTTGTTGTAGTTGTGTTGTTTTAGGACTGAAAATTAATTGTTTTTAACTCAGACAAGCTGTTTTTCAGGTTAGCCACCATCCTCCCATTTCAGCCTGCCACTGTGAATCGAAGAACTTTGTGTTTTGGCAAGGTATACCTTTTTAATTGAAAAGCATAGAACTTTTTTTTTACTAGCAAGTAAAAACTTTGTCTCTAGAAGCTGAGCTTTTTATTTGGAACTCACCTGAAAGTTTTATACTTAAAGTTTGTAAAAACTGATGCTTTGAATTAATACACTCAAAATTCTCATTCTTAAGAGTAAGTAGATGTGTTACAACTTCTTGTCACTTGCAGCATGTTTATACATTTCTATTTAAAAGTTTTTTACCAAGAAAATTATTATTTCTTATAAAAACAAGCAGTGCTTTTTTTTTTTTTTTTTTTTTTTTTTACTAACTTGAACAAGCAGATGTTTATTTCTATGTCTCTACTGTCATACATGTTGAATTTATATTGAATATTCTCAGGAGATATGTTACAGCACAGGTATAACACCTAGAAGAAAATGAAACTTCTCTTTATCTTTTCTGATCTAATATCATTCTCCAGTTGTTCTTTTTTTGTGTGTTTTCATGACAACCTCATACTGTGCTGTTTTAAATGATGTAGTACAGCAGATCCCTGCAAGAGGGAGAACTGAGTCTTTCTGGTTTTCTAAGTCTTTTCTTTTATATTCAGATATCAGGTGGAAAAACAAATTTTGGGGGAAATCGATGGAAATTCTTCCAGTTGGAACCTTGAATGTGACTCTTCCAAAGTAAGCTACTGTTTTATTTCCTTTTGGTTTTGGTTTCTGATGTAGTCTAATCTTGTGTTTCCTTGTAGCTGGATTGGATGAAGTGTAAGCAAAGGGCACGTGAATTGAACTGTGTGGGTGAGGGCTAGCATGAAGCTCAAATCTCTTGCATATACACGCAGGTGGGGACACTGAAGTGATCAGCTGTTCAGAACAAGGCTGACAGTACTTTCAGCTAGCATTGTCCTTATTAAAGCTCTCAATACTGCTAGTATGGCCTCAGAAGAACCAGTACTAATATTTGAAGGTTATTTTTTCAAAATGTGAAAGCCAAAAAATGCACTTTGATTTTAAACAAATAGTAGAAGGAAGGAGTCTAAATACAAATAAAATTGGTTTTAAGTTGTAAACCATAAGAATATGCAAGGAGAGGATACTTTAAGCATGCCTGCAGGTTCTGCAATACTCTGTTCTCGATCCTTTAAATTGAGGTCACCTTTCTTTCTGCCTATAACAGTATGGTGTCCTTAGGGACTCCATCTGTTTATCCACATCATCAAATCTAAGTAAATGCACTCTGGAGTAGCTTTGTCTTCTGTCTACATGTTTGGCTCTCAGCTCTGAAGGAGAATGTGTTTCATTCATCCATTTTACTCTCTGACAACAGATGTGCTCTTACTCCAAGTAGCTTTTACAGAGGGGAAAGAGATAATGTACCAGTGAGCCTACTTCACTTCTGTTTTCTTCTTTCCATATTTAGTTTGTTCTATCTGTAATTTAATTGCTTTGTCTGCCACTGGCCTAAATCCAACCTTATACTGATCTTTAGTTCATCCTAGAACTGATGCCAAAGCACATAATGCTCTGAGGACAGTGAATATGCTGTGCAGGACTTCAGTGATTCATAATGTCTTGATTTGTGTTTTGTAGCATCATTCTTCACTTCTCCGCACTAGAGCTTAGGTGAACTTTTCCATGGAAGATTAATAACATGCCCAGAGCTTATGCTTTTAATAAAATAAGCTATTTTTACAAAAGTTTTTCAGGAATACAGTCTTGTAATTGTTAATGATTTACTTTTTTTTTTTTTCCCCATGATGATTATGATTAGTTTGCATTATTAACTTCTTATTGATCTATTCTTAGGTATGGAGACTACTATGTCTGGAACAAAGTCACTACTTGCATACATAATATCCTTAGTGGAAGGAGGTGGATAGAACACTATGGAGAGATAACAATCAGAAACACAAAAAGCAGTGTTTGTATTTGTAAACTCACATTTGTCAAGGTAACACATTTATTCTAATGCATTTCATTGCATGGCTTAAGTTTGTATAGAACTGTTTCTTCAATATTCCTGAAATATGTTAAATGTTCTGACTTACCAACATTTGTGAGTATGTAAATCATCAAATAAGAGTGCTATTTCAAACAGTATAACTCTTCTATTGAACTGGTCGATTTTATATCAGCATCTTACATTGCTATACTGCTGTTGATTTTAATGAAAATCATTTAAAAATGAAGTAGCAAAATTTCTGTTATTACAGTGAAAACGCATGGTCACTGAATAGACTTCTGTGCCATATTACTTCTGCCTTTGCTAGAACTTGGCCACCACTTTTATCTCTTTGGCTTCAGTAATGTCTTGGCTCCTGTTATTTTAATATCCAGGCAAGGACCATAAATAAAAACAGATCAGTGTATAGCAAGCAGGTAATTAACTGTACTTAGATACCTTTATACCAAAACCAGTTATCGAGTCATTCAAGGTTTCCCGTACACTAACACAATTAATATCCAGATCATTAAAATTTTGAATACCAGTATTCTTGGTGAGAAATTCTGATGCAAAATTTTGACAGTTGGTGACACATTAAGATTCATGCAATGTCAGTGTTGACACAACAAGTGATGTGATGACTGAGTAGTAATTCCTTGTAAAACTTGCAGGTAAACTACTGGAATTCAAATGTAAATGAAGTCCAGGGAGTTGTGATAGACCAAGAAGGGAAGGTAGTGCATCGCCTCTTTGGAAAGTGGCACGAAGGTCTTTATTGTGGTGTAGCACCTTCAGCCAAATGCGTGTGGAGGCCAGGTAAGAAGCTTGTGATAAAGATACCATGGCAGGCACCATGGTATATTTTTAAACTGTGTAAAGCACTCTGAGCAATCATTGTAAGTACATGAAATACTACTGGGGAAATATTTTTTTGGCTAAACAAGTGAACAAGATTTTACAGGTGTTTATAATGAAGATAAATGGAAATGTCCCTACTTGGCACAGTGTTCTACATCTTGGTTTGACTTCTGATCAAATCCTGTGGGGTGCTGGAGACAACATAAAAATGAAATTAAGAAAATATTTGGATGTCTAGGTCTGCATGACTACTTTCTTAGAGAAAGCAGGACTGTCTTACCAAATTTAGTCTTTTGTGAAACCAAAGGATTTGTCTTCAGAGATAGTGAGCTCCTGTGATTTCAGAAACTGAATTCAGCTTCATTATTGCTTGCTTAGAAACTCTAGGGTTTAATTACTTTTCCTTTGCACATGTAGTATTTTTCATATGAAAAATATGAAAATATGGTGAAGAGTGATTATCCAGAATCTGTCATATTGATAATGTTTTGTGCCTACTGTGTTCTGGTGGCTATCAATGCTGAAGGTTCAGGACAGTGCCCAATCAGTCTTTGCATGAGAACGTGGTCCAAAATTAACACAAAAATTTAGCTAGGATTAGCTTTTACATACACATCTGAAAAGCCTGGGAACAGGAAGCTATTTTGCTTGAAAATCTTGAGAACAGTAATTTTTATTTAAAAAGGAAGGATCATGAAAGCTTTGAATCTACAAGCAGGTAATTACAACCTATACAAGATAAGCAATTGAAATTAATGTTTAGTGCATGTTGTTCTATCTAGAGAATATCTTTTGATACTTTTAAATTGTGTGTAAAATAAAATATTTTAATTTTTTTTTGCTTTTACAATTTAATAAATATATGAATATTTTGCATGTTTAGATTAGCAGTTTAAAAAGCATTTTTTCTTCCTCATGCATATGTATACAGGCTCCATGCCAACCAACTATGAACGATATTATGGCTTCACAAGATTTGCTATTGAGCTCAATGAATTAGATCCTGTACTGAAAGATCTTCTTCCAACAACAGATGCACGATTCAGGCCGGATCAAAGGCAAGAATGCTTGTGCACTTAATATTTGGTGATTTTAAGGGTGGGTTTGGCTGAGTATTGAATTTTGTCTGTGAACAGTCTGGACTTGGAGAATTCTCGTAGCTGTGAAGGTACTCAGTAGTGAAGTCAAATTTCTGCTTTACTCAATTGAAGGACAGGAAAATAGAAAGCATCCTGCTTAGTATACTGCACAAGTCTTCTAGTAGAAGGTAGTATTCTTCATGACAGGCTGGAAATACATGCTCTGAATGTCATGCCCTGCAGCTGTGAATGGAGGCAATGGGAATTCCCTCCTAATTCTCAGTTCATAGTACTTCAGTGTTTGTGATACACTGAAGTAACTAGAGATGATGTATGCCTAAGGCTGGAAGGCAGTTACCTGCAACTGGAGAGTCGAGTATCAGTCACTCTTGTTTTCTGAGGTTATGACTAGATCTTACAAAGGGTACAGCAAAGACAGGGGGCATGGTTTTTGCTAGTCTTTTGTGATGAACAGTCCAAGGAAATTCCTTGATCAGATACTGTGTGATTGCTATAAGACAGCTGTTATCCATACAGGCTTCTAGAGGAAGGAAATATAGAAGCAGCAGCATCAGAGAAACAAAGAATAGAAGAACTCCAGAGAAGTCGGAGGCGGTACATGGAAGAAAACAGCATTGAATATGTACCCAAGTTTTTTAAGTGAGTCTTTTCATTTCAGTAGTAAACCTTTGTTGTGCTGTGACTGAATGAAGTACTGCACCACTCAGCCAATAGTTTTTGAAGTTTAAAATGGAATAGAAGTATAACGTTCTAGGAGCTGTTAATGTGCATCATTGTTGCTCTTAGGAAATAAGATTTAGCTAAGTTATTGTAAGTCATTGCGTAGACAAAGTAATAAAGTAAATAAACAAAAACAGCATATGTACACACACACAGATATAGAATGTAAATATAAATGTATATATACACATTTCATTACAAGTAAATCTTTTAGGGAGTTTTTTTAATTAAGCAGTCTTTTGAAACAACGGATACCCATTCCAAACACCATGATATTCATCTTGAAGAATCAAAAGACTGAAAAAGCCCAATGTGCATTTAATGAAATACTATGGGTAGATCAGAGATGTGCTATTGATTGCATATTGTATAGGAGAAGAGATTTGAGTTCAGACTTCTCTCTCTCTCTTTTTTTCTTCTATAGAAAAGTTATCGATGCTAATCAAAGAGAAGCCTGGGTTACCAATGAAACCTACTGGGAACTGCGAAAGGATCCTGGATTTAGTAAAGTAGAAATTCCTGTACTCTGGTAAACTGAGAATGTAGATCTAGTAAACATATCACTCTCTGAAGAAAAAAATAACTATGCACAATATGTTTCTTATAGATAAGCGTGGTTTGTGGGTCTATGGAAAAAAAAAAAAAGATCATTTGCATTTATTTTCATCTTTATAATGGACTTTTGAAAGTGCATTAGACCAGGCCCCTGACCACTTCTGGATCTTTTTAATTTTGCAGCAGCCATTAAAAAAAAAAAGAAAAAAAAAGAAAAAAAAAAAAAGAAAGAAAAAGGAACAAAACCCTTTTGAAGTTTCATACAATGAAAATTCAGAAGAGAAGCAGATGAGTTATCCAAAGTCACTTGGAGGAGGCGGTAAATAAAAACTGCAATCGGTGCTCTAAACAGACATTAAGAGTAATGTAATTTAAATTAAAAGAAAAAAAAAGGAAGAAAAACAGAAAAAAATCCATTTTGTTTCAACTATTTTTGTTAAAATCTTTTGAGTCACCACACTGTCATTTCTGGCTTCAGGTTAGTCCTTTGGTGTTCTGTGCTTGGACTGGCCTTGTCAAAACATGCTTTTCTGAAAGCTGTTCCCATTCATATACCATTGTTCATGCCTTAAAGAAAATATGAAGATGTACAGTAAGTCATTTTAAAATATATATGCTTAGGCTTGTGTGAAGGGCAGATTTTTAAAGCATTAGGATTTTATCATGGTATAAATATTGGAGAACCTGTATTATTTAAAATCAAAAGACAGCCAAACATCTAACTGTATTTCAGAGGAACAAGATCTACTGTACATGCTTTAGCTATGGGGAGCTGACTGTATAATCAGACTGAAAAGAAGCTGCTAACTGGTTAAAATTGAGGTTATTTTGTTAAATGCATATGAGTGGCTAGTCAGAAAATTCATATTTTAAGTGGCTAATGTTGAGATGCATTTGTCGCTTTTACTTCTGAGTGGACACGGTCTTGCAGCAAATTCATTTCCCTATAATCACTTATACAATTAGGATTCCCTGAAGCTTTGCAACAGTGTTAAAGCACAGAAAGATTTCATGGGAAGGTCTCTGGCTTCGCTTCAGAGGTTGGATCGTACCGTAAATGAAACTTGTATTTTCTTCCACACATGCTGTTTACTGGCTCTGTTCTTTCCCCAGCCACTTATTGCATCTAAATTTATATTTGAGAGTAGGGCAGAGGCTCCTGTGCTTTGTAGCTAACTTCTGCTACTTGTGTTGCCAAAATAGCTTTTGTGCAAAATTATATTTTACAGTTTTTCTGAAAGTGACTCTATATTTTTGGTTAAGAACCAAGACTCTTACATATTGCTAAGCCTCAGTTAATATATGTAGGAGATGGTTTGGCACTTTCTGTATGAAAATCTCTGAAACGCTAAATTGGTAGGAGGGCAGATTTTAAAAGAAAAAGGGTAATTTTATTTGGTAAAATGTGCATTCCATATGGTATGATCTAGTCTTTCATTTATATGCGTATTACACATCCACTCCACTGATGCCAGGTTAGATTTCATAAATAGACTCTGTATTACTTTCTGCACATATACAGCATACATAATGCATGTAACTTTTTCTATTTAAAATTGATTCCAATAATGAGACCTAAAAAAAATGATTTGTTAACTACGTGACTCTGCCAGAAATGCTATACGGACAGCTGTCAGTGCAATACAACGTGTACCTATCCCTCCCCTAGCTCTTGCTTTTGCAGAGCTGACACCAGTTGGGTTACTGAATGTGCATTTAGTTCTTCCCTTTGTTTATAAAGCAGAACAACTGGCTACTAATGAATCCCAGTTTCTTCTTCTTACCAGGAAGAAATATGAAAACCTGAATAAAATATTAAGTTTAATTTTAAATAATTATGAATACTTGTTAGGAAAAAAAAAAAAAACAAACCAAAACTGTGCAGATTACCAGGATTTCTTCCAAAGAAAAATTTTAGTTAGTTAAAAAATGATGTAATTTTCTTTTTTACTTCAGTAGAACTGGATTTTTTCTTTTTTGAGTTCTACATTTGTTATTACAAAAAAAATTAAGATATATAAAGATTTGGGTTTTTTAATTGTATTTGTTTGACTTCAACATACTTGCTCTCATGGTATTATACTACAAAACAAATTGTCATGCTGTGTGCAAAGTAGTGATTGATTAGACTGGGTCACTTTTTAAAATGAAACACTATTAAGCATTTGCCCATCTCATGCTTCAGTCTCTGTGTGCGGTTTGCTGCAGCATTGGAAAGTTTTATGTGTGTGTGTCTGCAAGTATATTTGAGGGACAGAAACTAAGTCCTCTTTTGTTTTTTGAGAGGTTTTTTTTTTTTTTTCAAATTTAAATACAAAAATAAGGTATTTAGTTTTATGGTGTTCTGATAGTGTTTCATGAATGCCGTTCTTTGCAATGCAAACTTGGTTAACACTGAAGATGCTATCACTGCTTTAATTATTCTTTTACGATTGTTTATCTGATACTCATAGTAAAAAAATTAGCATTCAATTTTTTAGAGTTAACAAAATGTGATGCAGTAAGTCTTTCTATTGAAGACACTCTTTAAACCTATGGAGTGTTAAATTAACAGAATGTTAAACTAGTTAATTAGTAACTAGAGGAATTACAAAGCATTGCAGGATATTTTCTGTCTTTATCAGAATTCTACAGTGCCAGCAGGTGTGCCATAAGTTGTTTCCTCCAGTACAGAATTCTCTGCGTTCTGTGAAAAACGCAAATTTTCCCTGCAAACTTGATTGGACACTGTGACAGCTTGTTGGACTGTGGTATGTTTCTCTGCCCAGGTTGCTGATGAGATATTCAACTGTAAGCACTGCAAATTGACCCCTCTTTGCAGGCTACCAGCAGGGTCTTAGCCGCTGGTCGGTGCCCTTCGAGCCTGAGGATTTGGGCAGTTTCCAGCCCACCCTGTTCAATTCAGCCAGGCAATATTTCCTTTACAAGGGCATAAAAGGTATTTACCTGCTCGGCAGATTTAATTGCTACAGATTTGGTCTGTGATGAAAATCAGTGCCAATCATTTCATGTTTTAGAAACTGAAGTTCAACTTTCAATATAAAGAAGTTTCCCTTGCTTTTTCTCTTGTTTTCTTTAAATATTCCTGTGTAAAATAAACAGCCCTTATGCTTCAATTCTGCAGTAGTGAAATGTACTGTCAATAATACTTTAAAGTGTACTTCATTTTCTTCCTTGTTCTGGTACTGTGGATATGATAGGGCAACAGTAGCTATGTCCATCAAAAGCGTGTGATCTTATAAAGACTTCAATAACTACATTCCTATATTAGATGCGTATTAACAAGATAGCAGATTTTCCTGCATATTAGAAACTGTTACCTTGCTGGAAATAACATTTGAATATGAGTTGATTTTCATATTATCACTGTGATTAAAATGTCATCTCAGAACTCATTCTAATTTTAGATAGATTCAGGTTGCATGAAATAAATATTTTTGTGTTAGATCCTTCTATAATACTCTGGTCATCTTACAAATATTGTCACACCTTTTTGTATCTTTTTTTCCCCTAATTTTGAGCATCTGAATCTGAATGAGCATTTATGACATTTTGAGTTTTGCTTGAACAGCAGGTGCCAGACAGATGTGAAGTGCTGCAGGACATACACGTTACCAGCACTGGTCCTGCCCTCCCATGTGAGGATTTGTGCCCCAGCCATGTGGTCCTGCTTATTGTGTTCCTTTCCCCACCCAAAATTGGATTTTTGGAACTCTGGGAGGAAGGAGAGCTTCTCTTGCAAATGCACAATAACTGAGAGGGATGGATATTCTGGGTTTTCTTTTGTGAGTTTTAAAAGAACTTTCTTTAGCTATCAAAGTTAGTATGTTGCCTTTGTTTTATAGGATTTTTAATTGTCTGGTGCAGAGATAGACATTAACCGTTTTAAATGCCGTTGGCTGCAATAGTCTGAGGAATTAACTGTATTGTAGTTGTCCCTACTAATTCTGGATTTGCAAAATGAAAGCAAATGAAGAATTTTTAGATTAAATCTAAAGAAAAAAGGGTATTTTTATTCATATGCTGAAATTGAGGGGTTATATTGAAGATAGTTTAGTTCAGCTATGGGAAAAAGATATTCACAGAATTGTATTAAAAATAAAACAAACGTTGGAACATCCTCACCTGTCAGCATGTATTATACAGACACCTTGGAGAGGGCTAAGAGATTGGTATGTCTTAACTATTTCTCTGAGCATCTACTGGGGCTGCTATCTAGTGTTTTCATTTTGGATGTCATTAAGTAACACTCCTTGAAATTGGACACTTATTGCTGGAAGTCAGGGTGGTCAGAGATACAGTTGCAACTTGTTGTTATTGTTAATCTGCTCAAAATTGTAAGGGAACATTCAGTATAAAACTATTTCTGTACTTTCTACTTTATCAATCCTGATTAGTTTTACTGTGATTCTGGTATCACTCAGAAGATAAGTTTCATGGAGAAAGGATGTATTTTTTCCTGTTTGTTTTTGTTGCTGTTTGATTGTGTTTTGTTTTGTTTTAGATAGGAGAATCTAAACTAAATGTGTTAATTTAAATTTAATTATTAATAAGGAGAATATCTCCGTAAAATCTTTGTGCTCCCTCAGAACAGGGTATGGTACCACGAGAATGTTATAAATCTCATTAAGTTAAAAAAAAAAAAAAAAAAAGGCTTATTTACAGCAGTTGATTTTATTTTTTGTATTATGCAGTGTAAAGGGTCTAATCACAAAAGTTCGTTAAACTTGAGCATGTAAAGCCTTTTGTTGAGTATCTTGGTGTGCATTCCATCCTTCTTCCACTGACATGAGAAGCCTCTTTATAAAAACCTCCTTAGGGGAATTTCTATATGGCATCTTGCAAGTTTAAAAAGTGTCAACAATTTATCCATAGGTGTTTTATATATATGTACACTCCTCTTTTGTCGAGTTTTGGACTAGTATTAAACCCATTATGTCTTTTTTTTCCCCTTATGATCTCTGTCAAACCTCAGAGTAGGGAGAGACTGCAATGAAGAGTAGTGAAACCAGAGACATCAGTTCTGTCAATGGCACCCTTGTAGCAGAGCAGAAAAAATTCAAACATCTATAGATT